TACCTCCACTAGATCAGGAAGGCGAGCTTCCAATGTTAGATTGTAACGTAAAAAATAATATTCAGACTGTGTAGTGTGATTTAAATTCATTACTTGCAGATTAGTTGGAGATCTGCAATGTACACACAGTTCGAGGAGGTGACATTTCATCACAGTTTCCATTAGAAACCAAAATTACTCAGATCACCACAGTATATGTCATCTGCTTCATACCATAACTAGTAATCAAGAAGGTAAGCGCAAATGCCTAAAACTATATACTTCTGGCTGACTGAGGTGAGTACTTGTATCGAGTTCACATCAACCAATAGTGTTGGCTAGACAGCCAGCCATATCGAGGTGATCTAAAAACACTGGATGATTGTTTGGTGTGCTGAGTTCATCAGTGGTATAGTCAGTTCTGATTGAACTCAGAGAGCTGAACCAGTTCAAACTAATCCATATTTCTGGCTATCTAAGCGGGCGAACATTTCACCCTTCGAACTGTGTACAGTTTGTAAAGTGACAATTTGATTTAAAGTATGACCAGGTCGCTCAAGTAGATAGCCAGAAACCTGACGGTTTAAACTGGTTTGGCTGTCTGAGTTGAGTTAGACTGGGTACATTCATAGTTAACTCAACACCAAACGTTCGTTCAATGTCCAGGTTACCTCGAACTGGCTAGCAAGCACTGCTGATTGATATGAGTGATAAGAAACTACTCATCTCAATCATTTAGTAGTATACAGTTCTATGCATATATTATGAGTTAGAAAATGCAAGCGTTTCTGAGCTCTAAGCTTTTCGCCCTCATAGTAAGACGTTCATCACGTCTGATCTTACAGACTTCCGCATGATTCAGTGTAACACTATGTGGTTAGGCAAATCTGAAATGTTCCTAAGTTGGATGAAACTCCTGGTTGATTCTTGTAGACTTCTCAGTTGGTGTTTAGCTGGTGCTAAATTATGATGAAAGTCACACATGAAATTGACTGGGTTGACACTAGTTGGATCAAATTCTAACTCTGTTTATATCAGTTTTCTCTTCAGAGAGCCTAACACTATACTCCAGTACCTTCAGGGCTATAGAATGCTAGCGAAATTCCAGTCATTTGAGTATCCCGATAATTTATTATGTGGATATTTAAATCATTATTTATGTTAATTTTTATTTGCTTTCTGTGTCAATTCATCCAGAATAAAGTTCACTTTAAAAATGTTTACTGACTGAATTGTGTTCACTTGTTATATTATTGACCAATGAAATCTTAAAAGTCCTTGTTTCAGTCCATCCTCAGTAGGTATGGACATGGGTGCATACTTCTGAAGAGTCCAAAAATAGGACGAAACAACTGTCCAGTACTGTTTGGTTTCCTTAATGGTTCACTAACTAATATATAAGATCATGATCCAACTATACTTATGATTTCTAAAGCGGAATCAATCAGATACCATTATTACTTGAACATTTTTAAACGTATTGCTCAAACGAATTTGGCATTTTAGAATTTCTTCGGGATGCATAAAGTATGTTTTGATTCCTTTAAAATTTCTCAGTTGGTTAGAACGTACTTTGCTGTGTTAGCACTCTTATGTATTGTCAAATATCCAGGTCGCAGAGATTCTGAACCTTTCGTTGGTTTTAGAAGACTAAGCTTAATACACGGCACACTATGCACTGTAATCGATGCAGAACAACAGAAAACGGTTGGGTAGCATGACTGTTTATTCTTCAAGCGATAACGAAACAGATTTACAAATGGTCAATCAGTGCCAAAGTTTGTAAATAATCGTTAATATAAAATACAAGAATACTTCTGATCGCATTTCTATAATCTTATGCCAACCAGTACACGATTAAGCAATGACAGCCTTCTTGTCACCCGCCATTATGGGCACCAGTTCGAATAAACAAACTCGCCTTGTAACCAGAAGGTCCTGAGTTCGAATCTCGGTGGATGTGTACTGATGAAGAGTCCCAAACTAGGACGAAACAGCTGTCCAGTACTCCCAGGTATTCCAATGGTTCTCTAACTAATGTCAGCTCATGATGAAAATCCTGTAATCAATCAAATCCCTACGAACCAACATTTGAAAACTATTTAATGTTCAGCAGCATTGATATGTATTTCGATGTTCTAAATTCGTATTTTTTTCAAATGCAGAATTCATATAATAATAATTTCGAGGTTTTTGGTTTGAAGGGATTTAATCGACTTCAAGTTAGATCACCAAATGATTTAAGTTAGAGGACCATTGAACCACTTGAAATCAAACGGATCTCTTAAAAATCACCATTTAAAAAGGAATTAACAGTGTACTACTGGCTAACTGCGGGATAGAGTTTTAGTAAGAAGTTGTGACTAGTTGGGTCTACCATGTCAGGTGAAATTGACTGGCAGTGGCGTAATACATCAGGAATTAACAGAAGTTAGAATTGGTTGGAGGACTTCATCATGAGCTGAGATCAGTTAGAGAACCATTGGACAACCACCTGGGAGTACTGCCAGACAGCTGTTTCCTCAGCCTAGTTCTTCAACAGTACGCACCCAAAGCCTGGGTTCGAACTCAGGACCCTCTGGTTACAAGGCTAGCGAGCTCGTAGATCAATAAGCCACCGGGATCCGATCCAATGGCCAGTCCATGAATTCTAACTTCTGCCGATTCATGACATAGCGTGACCACTTCTCATTGCCTTCTTCGATGAGTTACTGCCTCACCTTCAACTTGCTGTAACCTACTGGTCACGGTTTCCCACTAGAACCCTGGTGCTCACTAGCGGCTGCCCCTATTCAGGCAGTTACCTGGGGTTCTAGTGGGAAGTGGTGACCAGTAGGGTACAGCAAGTTAAAGGTGAGTCAGTAACCCATCGAAGAAGGCACTGAGATTTGGTCGCGCTATTTCATGAATCGGCAGAAGTTAGAATTCACAGGCTGGCCATTGGATCGGGTCCCAGTGGCTTAATGATCTATGAGCTCGCCTTGTGTTCAAACCCGTGGTGTGGGTGCGTACTGAAGAAGAGACTCAAACTATGACGAAACGGCCGTCTAGTACTCCATACTAGTTTTTCAATTGTTCTCCAAGTGATGTCAGCACGTGATGAAATCCTCCAACCAATGAAACAAAATCCCTACAAAGCAATACTTGGAAGTAAGTTAGAAATCATTGTTCATTGAATTTGGTTCCAATGGATGAATAATCAATGAGCTTTCCTCGTATCCTGAAGGACCAGGTTTTGATCTTCATTGGAGTCATGGGTGAGTGCTGATGAGAAGTCCTAAAGAAAATCAGTACAAAACAGCTGTCCAGTAGTCCATGGTTATCAGCAGTACTCTAGCCAATATCAGTCCGTGATTTAACTTGAAATTGATATTTATTTAAATGGTTTATGAAACTTGTGTCCCAAGAAAATTTAGAACTCTTCTTTGATATCAGCAACAAGATATTCAATGAAGAGATTATTTTCAATCAGTTTGCACAATTCATTTATATATTCTGACTATTGTCTAATATGAGTATTTGTGAACTAATCAAATACGGAGGCTAGGAGTAATCGCCAACTCTTGTAGTAGTTCAGTGAACACTAGAGAAAATTGATTATTGATAAATGATACTGATTAAAAATCTTAAAACTGATCAATAAACGAATGAGCTGTAGGAACTTCATTTTCCATGCTCCGGAACACGCTCTTGTATGTGTGGCTAAATAAAGGTGTAGTAAAAACTATCAACGGTTCGATATATATATATATATATGTACATATATATATATATAGACCATCTTGTCCATGCAGGTCATAAAAGCCAGTAGTGAGGAGTCCTTTTCTATCCCCTATCGGGTATCGAATAAACTGCCAAATGCCTCAAGGTATCGAATACTTCGTTGCAATTCGCCTACAACAACTAGAGCTCAGAATACGCAAGTAACAGGTTCAGCCACACTCCTAGTATCCTAGTCTATCGTGGGACCTATGAATTCATAAGTTCTGCATTGATTTTTTTCTAATTTATCTGATATTGAATCAGTTTAGTGTTATATTTACGCATGTGATAGTAAACAGATGTTTTGAACAGTAATCTACCGGTCTTACTGGTTCTGTGTTATTATAACCGCATTAATGTTATTGATGACACTTATTCTTTAATGATTAGGGATAGTTATATAACTGTAGAACCTGAAGGAGTAGTCGAAAATGTGAATATATATTCTTTGTTCATCATGTGGAGACTTGACTAATTCACTTAAGCATTCGGTGTGCAACCACTGGACTGGGTCCCAAATTTCGAATCCCACCTCTTCAATTGGATATTTTTAAGTATCATCAACTCTTACACCCTAACTGTCTACCTTTCTCATATACTCTGGACTGATGAGTTCAACGATATCAGTGTTTAAAAGTAAGTACATATTATATAGTGCGTCGGTGGCACAGCGGTAGAATATTTGCCAACTACGAATGTGGTTAGGGGTTCGATCCCCGGTCGCCAACGCACTCCTTTACCTCGTTAAGCCAGTAATCAGACTGTTAAAGATGGAAAGTTGGTCATGAGGCTAGCAAGCAACTCCATCCCGTAAAATTAAACATTACTGCTATCAAAAATTCAAGCCTTTAGCTTGAAGCTCAGTGTTCCACTGGGAACGTGAAGGAATAAAAAACAAACAACATATTATATACAAATTTTATTTCTTATGTAACATATATATGTATGTATGGTTAGTATTCATAACAAAATATCTTTATTCAAAATGGAATAGTAATAAAAAGTACAGTGAAAATTTTTTGGGCTTCTCCTTTTTCACAGAAACAAACAGAAGTTATGTAATAGAATGTAGAAATGAAGAACTTACTGTTTAGCACCCCCCCTGTGAGTAATACAAATATGTGTAACATTTAAACTGTATGTGCATGTGTGTATGTGTGTAATTTGTGTGTTTGTGAGAAATGCATACCCTTTTCAATAATGTTAGCAGTAGTAGGGCTATTTGTTTCAGATGATGTCATCACTATTATTATTACTATTTAGCATTCATTATTTCCGCCCTCTCCACCGCCAACTCTAAATTTTTGTTTGACTGAATCAAAATGAATATTCCGTAATATTTTATAATTTTTTGAGGTATTTGTTGCCTTCATTTCGATGTTCCAAGCTAAGTAAGAAATATTAATTAAAATAAATAAAATATAGGGATAAAATTTTCGCGCCAATGTGAGTTAGTATATCATTACATATTAAATAAATTGTGTCATTTCAATTCAGCATGTTTGGTGTGATTAACCTCTCTCTTTTTCCATCTAGCGTCGACGGCACAGCGATAAAATGCTCGCCATCCAAGCAAGTGGTTCGGGGTTCGACTCCCGACCGCCAACGCACTCCTCTACGTCACTTAGCCAGCAATAAGACTGGTAAAGAGGGAAGGTTTGGTATCAGGCTTAGTAACCTCATCCAGTAGAGATAAATACTACTGCTACTGAAACTTCAAGCCTTTAGCTTGAAGCCCTATGTTCCATCGGGAACGTAAAGGAATATATATATATCCTTCACTTCTTTATGAATCTATTTCTCTTTAAACATTGAGAAACTGACAACATGAAGATATTTTTATTTAGTGGTTGAAGACAATCAGGAGGAAGTTTTGGATCTGAGTTTTATTCTTGCTGACACTCGTTAGTTGGATGAAACGGAAACCTCGAAGAAATCAATGTGTCATTCTGAAATTCGAACCCGCATCACCCAGAGCTACGATTAGAGACTCTACGGGCTAATGTATTAGTATTATTGTCTCCTTTAGTTCCTAGAGGAACATAGGGCTTCAGCCGTACGTTTCCATTGCGTTCGGTTCTCCGCCAACACTTTCACCTGGCTTCAAGTCTGCCCACATGCTTTTATCTCCTCTTCGCTTCACCTCCTCCTTCATGTCACCCTCGCACTGACGACCAACTCGCCGCTTCCCATTCGGGTTCCACTCGAGCAATGGCCTGGTGTGTGATGTCACTCACTTGATGGTTTGTTTTCTCAGAGTATGGTCAGCCAATCTACCTCCATTTCTTCCTGCATATTTGTTGCACAACTGGTTCCTGCTGGGTTGGGTTGTTTCGTTCATTGCCAGACATCTTTTCTGGCCAGCCATCTGATCTTGAGTAGTATTGAGCGAAGACAGCTAGTTGTTGACGAATGTCTGTAGTTTGTTCGAAGTGCCCTTCTTGATGTGGCGTGGCGCCAAGTCTCTGATCCGTATAGTGGCACTGACTTCACACTGGAGATCCGGGCTAATGACTGACCCCCAGTAGGACCATATATGGGATACCAATTTCAGGATACCTAACGTCAACCGTTTGATCAGAACAATTTATCCTTATAAATCAGTATTTTCAACTAACATGAACTCAGAGTACGCCACTATGGCCAGTCACTTTGCATGACAATGAAAAACTATATTACCATATTTATAAGTCGATAGAGTGTTCCGGCGTTGATACGTTCTTCTTTTTGTTCTCATTAGTTTACAGTTCAAATCAAGTACACATTGAAAGTTTCGCATGTTTCTTATGTGGCATTTAAACACATCTACTGTAGCATATCTACTTTGGTAGTCTGAAAAGTAAGAATCAACCAATAGGAACTGAGCTAGACAGTCTGACACTAAAATAACTGAAATCTGCCTGTAGTCATTTCCTTTGGTGACCATATTGAATATTTAACTGGTAGATTTCACTCAGCATCCAAAATACCCTGGGCATATGACGCTGATTACACACTATTGACTAGTCAATATATGCACTTCTGTTGACTGGAGCTTAGACTTGTAGCAATTAATAACATTCATAATGTTATAAAAACCCCGTATACTCACCTGACCTTAATTTTCTGTATTGAAAGTAAAAATGCCACACTGATCATTTTTTAGTAATGGTAACAAATTCTCTTCAGTTGATTCTCGTCCTTGTTGTCGCGGTCTCTGTTGTTGTTGTTGTAGTCCAATTTCTAAATATTCTAAGTCTTTATTATCCTCCTTTTCTACATTCGTGTATTCTTGTTGCCTAGGTGATGCGTGTACACTTGTATTTTCGTCATTATTAATTAGGCAACGAACACTGTCAGTGTTTTCATCCGCATGTCTACACTTTTTGATGCATTGATCATTGAACACTTGATTTTGTCGCGGTAATTCAAATACTTTATTTTGAAATTTTATATAATTATTTTGATATTTAGTATTAATATTATTATTGTATTTATTGTCATCAGAATTACTGATATTTGTTCCAATTAAATAATTATTATAATTATCTAATAATGTATTAAAACAGTCAGGAAATAAATTTGCTCTACTGTTTATGTATAAATTTTTTATCCAATCATAATGCATTTGTGTATATTCATTATAATCAGTATATTCATTTTGATTGGTTAATTCATGACTAAGATCAGTTTGATGATTGGTTGAAATAGTTGATTGAGTAGGTGGTTGTTGTGGCAACGGTGATGATGGAATGACTATATCGCTAAGACGACTACTTAAAAATTCAAATGCACTTTGTGATGTTGATGTCTGTTGACTGCTGTTGGAATTATACAGACGAAGTTCAGGCTAGAAAGGTAAATAAAATTATTTGGTAATTTCTATTTTAATATTAAGAACACAGTATTCAGAGAAGAGACTGTTTTCAACGAATTTATTATCAAGCTGTGCAATCGTACGCATATATATGGCTTTAATCTTAAGAAATTACATCCCAAACTCCTTACCGACTCAATTTCAAAGAAAACCATGTTCATGAATTTAGAATTCAAACTTGATCAGGCTTCAGAGATGCTCAGAAACCTCTCTAAATCAGTCAGCACGATATTCTTTGTTCTCCACCTGTGGAAAAAATAAGCTCCTCCGTCTGGTTTCCTCCATGTGCATCTATCAGTTTACTTGCTCTTGTACAGTGAGGTACAATGGTGATAGCTAGAGAACTCTTTCCACACGGATGCGAAAACATACTTCAGCATGATTTTACAAGGGAGTAAAGAAGGGTATACGAAGCTCTATTCTGGAACACACTTGATCGACTCCTGTCGCTCCTGAGCATGATTTTAAGATCATCTACCGAATCCATACTAACTTGCTGCGTTTTTTCACTGTAAACTTCTAAAGACAGTGGAGACCTTGGCCATTTATGAATTTTAGCCAGACTTTTGTTTGCAAAAGAAGTATGCACAATCTCTACTTCTACCTTGGCCGTAGAGGGATAGACATTTATTTATTTATTTTGTTTATTTAGTTATTCTATGTACCTTTCCCTTATCACTACGATTATTATTATTAATACTATCACTATTCTTACTTAGAACTGTTCCCATTTTTCCCAACTGTCATTCTGAATCCAAAACAGAATATTTTACAATATTGAATTCTATCTTATCAAATTTCACACCATGTTACGTAACATTTTATATTAAACTACTAACCCTATAATTATACACCCCCTTCCAACTTCTATACATCCTATGAATTATTTTGTATATCGGTTGGAGGATTTCATCATGAGCTGACATCAGTCAGAGAACTACTGGAAAACCTGGGAGGAGTACTGGACAGCTGTTTCATCAGCCTAGTTTGGGAATCATCGGCAGTATGCACCCACACTACGGGGTTCGAACCCACGACCTTCCGGTTACAAGGATGGCTCGTATGTCATTCAGCCATTGGGACCCAATTCAATGGCCAGCCCATGAATTCTAACTTCTACCAATTCGTGATTCCTAGCGTGCAGTCGTGACCAGTGAGATCCATCTAGTCGGAAGTGAGGATGGATTTCACGCGGATGACATTGGTTAGTGGTCGCACTTAAATCACGAAATGGTAGAAGTTAGAATTCATGCAGTGGCCATTGAATCGTGTCGCAGTGGCTGAATGGTTATACAACTTTGCAAGGAAGTGAGGCACTAGTGATTATTCATAGAGGGATTGTCTGAGCTTTGATATTTAATCGTGGGCAATTTATTTCACATAACCAACTGAGAATTAATCATAAAAATCAGTCATCGAACAAGTTGATGGTAACAATGAGTACAGTTTGTACATGAAAGTAGAAAATTATTTTCTAATGATCTCAAAACTTTAGCTCAAAAAGGTTAGTTGTTAATATGAAAAAATAGAAAAGCCTCTCTTTCGTTTTAAATAGGGACAAATTATAAAAATATCATATATATTTGAATCATAGGAAGCACGTCTTACTCACTGAACATAATTACTAGGTTGATAGCAAAACGTTCACGAAGTTTGAATAAATTGCTGTCAGTATCACAGTGACACTTTTAACTATTACTTTTTTTGTCAGGTTGTTCTTCACTTTACATATTACTTTGAAGGAGGCGTTTATTGAAATGGAATGGCCATTGGCGACGAGATGTTCGATTATTGCACTCCTTATACGGCGACTACTTCCTTTCTGCAGCCACGCTGGATAGTGTTCTTTGACCCCTTTTGACAGGATGCACATCAAACGACTTATGTACCTGGCTCCACAGAAACAAGTGAACTGATGTATACACATAGAAGTGGTCAGGTGCGAGATCTTGTCCTTTGGGCTTCTGCAGATCAGCGGACACATCCTGTCAAAGAACACTATCCAGCGTGGCTACAGGAGTGCAATAATTGAACACCTCGTCACCACTGGCCATTCCATCTCAACAAACGCCTCCTGCTTCAAAGTAATCTACAAAGTGAAGAACAACCTGCCACAGACAATATGTTTCCGTCTTCTTTGCATTGCAGAAGTCCTAGCCATTCAGTTATAAGAACCAGAACTATTCATACAAAAGAAAATTATTCAGCCACTTCTATTATTGTTTTGTCTGGAAATCATAAAAGTTTAAGAGTATACCCAAATCAGATCAAACTCAAGAACTACCATATTTGAAGAATATTTTTGAAAATACGACTAGAATGCTAAAATTATTTTAGAATATACCTCACCCACTAACCAACATAATCACCTGATTCAATACTATGCAGGCCGAAATACTCAGACAACAGCAAAATAAGACAAGATCAACACCATCTACAAATCAAACTGCATCAACAGTTGTGCAAGAACACTACATTAGTCAAACTGTGCATCCACTTCGTCTCTGATTCCAAGAACACAAACTAGCTAGCTGTCGAACGACACGACATGAATTCTTTTGATACTACTGTGGTGAGAGCTGTCTACTAGCCAAATTGTTAATGTTTACGTTCTCAAGATTGGTCGTGAGGAAATATGAACAAAGACTGATTCAAAGAACGACCACAGCAGACTTTGCGTAGGCGGATACAGTTAACATACAGATGATCTTACATTCAAGAAACAGTCACAAATAGGTGAAAGACTAACTTTAAGTGAGAAACAACCAATCAGAAGACTGTGTTTCTTTCCTTAAATAGTCTATAATAATGTACATGGAAATATATAAATATGCTTTGATTTCCTTAATAAACGATCTGTTGCCTGGCTCTTGTCTTCTGTTGTTACACTACTACAACTATGGACACTATTCCGACTGGGAAAATGTGGAAATTTTAAGCAGTGGAAATAAAAAAAACTGCCATGGAATTCCTGGAAGCTCTGTGATCACAAAAAACATGTTGACATCGATCAAATTTATCAGTCAGCGAAATGATCATTACCAATAGGTGTGAGCATACACAATACTTAGAAAATCTTTGAAGACAACCAATCACAGTCAAGATTATGAGAATAGACAGTTATATTCTTAATGGATAATTGTGAAAGTTCAATCCTCATTAAGGTTGGCGTTGAATATGTTGTCGAAAAGGTAAAGGAAAGCTTCAAAATCACTCGGATAGGAGGAGAACACCATGAGTCCTTGCATAACTCATAACATTTGTAAGTCAATTTCATTTTCAATAGATTAACTGACTATAGGTTGAATTTGCCTGAAGTTCTAGTGGGGAGTCATGACCAGCAAGTTCCATCAAGTTGGGTGTGGGGACTGATATACGTCAGTGACATTAGCTGGTGATCGAGCTATATATTTTAAGTTTACAAGAGTTAGATCTGGTGGGCCATTGGATTCCGTCCTACAGACTGAATGGTCTACAAACTCGCCTTGTAGCTTGAAGGTCCTGGATTCCACTTATGGAGGTGTGGCGGAGTTGTGAGTGAGTAGTGCTGACGAGTCCTTTCTGGTTTTCAATGGCTCTCTGACTGAGGTCAGTCTGTGATCGAAACTGAAAACGCATAACTGGAACAATGGTATATTGATTAAATTCATCACATATGATTATATGGATATCTATTTTAGGAGTAATACAACCCGTAAAATTTGAATTTCGCAGCTACTTACCATGATAAATAAATAACGACTTGGTGTTGCCTTCATTTCACACAGGACTAAACATAATTCTTTGAATGTAGGCCTGTAGTTTGGATCAGTATGCCAACCTTATCACATTAGAAGAGGGGAAGAAAAAAACAAACAGTGGTGGGGTTAAATAAATTTGAATGTTATTTAAATATAATATGGCAAGACTGTTGGTTTTTGTAGCCAATTATATATTAGGCATGTAGCATGTTTATATACCTGACTGACTAGCTAAATATACAACCTAGTCGCTGGTAGCCAGTATTGGAATCTAGGATGTGTAATTCGTCTTATTTGAGACTTGTTAGCTGGATATACCAGCGACTCTAGTGACTGATGGTGTAGTCAATGATACTCATATACGGAGTTATCCACGAGATTCACCTTTTGTGAGGTAAGCATGAGTTTTTGATTTGTTTCCGGAGCATTTAAAGAGGATGGTTATTTGGCGCTTGAACGGTAGATGATGGGTTCGAGTCTCTGTAGGTAAACAGTCACTTGCTGGCAATGTAGGTACATCCAACTGACAAGTTACACATAAGACGACATGAGCATGATGGATTACACCACTGCTAGCCCTCGTCATCATCATTAATCAAAATGACATCATGTTAATCTTTAGACGTCGTCTAATCGTGTTTACTACAAACCGACATGTTAATAGAGATCGAAGATTTCGGTCCAATATAGAAATCAGTCAGCTGGATATACAAATTGACTTAAAGGCCAAATTCAGCCTTACCATTGGTATCTCTTAGAATATAAATGTGCTATTTAAAAGTTGATGTTTTATTTTATTTAAACTAAATGACATTGATTTCATGAACTTGAGGAGGTGAGAATCCATTGAACATTGTATAGTCTTAGTAACATACTAGTCCGAGAGTTCTAGACTGCTAGTTAGCATTGCTGAACACTACACAACTACAGAGAAGCTCGTGCTTTGCAATACTACTTGGGTTGGCAGTAGTTGAACTCATAAAAAACCTTTCTTAAAATGACTCTGCTTAAACTTCTTCTGAGAAGTAATTTGGAAACTCATTCAAACCTCTGACGTGTAGTGCCCAAGTCTTAACCTAATCCAACAGCTATGTGGAAATGCGACGTCTCAAGTGATACACAACGGAAAATTTGGCGAGACATTCGAAATGGATACTGGAGTAAGAAAAGGCTGCCTATTATCACCAATCATATTCCTAATTATGGTGGACTGGAAAGATAGTGAGTGGGGATTGAGAAGATAGGAATACGCTTCACTGACCGATAAGAAGACTTTAGAAGATCTGGATTTCGCAGACGATTTATGTCTAGTGACACATAAACTTGAAGACTTGCAGGTGAAAGCCATAAACTGTCTGAAGAAGCAGAAAGGCAGCGAAGACAGGACTCCAGGTTACCATAGAGTGGGTGATGGTGATGAAGATAACCAAACAACAGCAACAACAACAACCGGCACCACTCACCATCAACGGGGGAGATTTGACAGAGGTTACCTCTTTCACTTATCTAAGAAGCATCGTTTCAACTACAGGCTGACGGCATGGATGAAGATGTCAAAGCCGGACATGATCGGGAAGGCAAGATACACCTTCATCAACCTGAAACCAATTTAGAAGTCTTCTGTACTGACTCAGTCAGCATAAACAACAAGATTCGGATTTTCAACATCAATGTGGAGTTGGTTCTTCTATACGGGTCAGAAACTTGGCGTGCGCGTCAATAGAAAAGCATTTCCAACAGGTTACTGCAGACTTTCGTAAACAGACTCATCAACAGCCTTCGCTGGCTCCATATTGAGGATCAAATGACCAGCCAGCCGGCCAGAAACAATTATCAACAAGAAACTCTGGCGATGAATAAACCAACAGTTGAGGGCTGATCGCTCAATAAATATGTAGCAGAAGATGGAGATGGATTGGGCTAGCTCTGAGGATGCCGTCAAATGACATTGTGCACCAGGCCATCGCCCTAGAGGGATCCAGATGGGAAGTGATAAAGTGGGTCGTCGGTGCGAGGGTGTCATGGAGGAGATCGTGTAGTGAGGAGGGGATGATAGACTATGGGCAATCGTGGATCTAGCTGAAGAGGAAAGTAGGAAATAGAAGAAAGTGGAGATATGTTGTTAAAGCCCTATGTTCCACTCGGAACCCAAGGGAATAATAACAATACGCACTGCCTAGACGAGGTAGCCAATGTTATGTGCTTAGAGCTTAGTGCTGATGCTGACTGAATTCTATCACTTGACTTAGCCATGTGGTCCCTAACCTTAGTGGTTTACCATCATGTTACACTCCGTATTGATATGAGATGGTTGAAGACAATCGGCAGGAATTTCTTGATTTAGATTCTATGCTTATTGGCCCTTCGTCAGCGAAGCGTATCTGTAACCTCAACCGCACTGATGTTCCGCCTGAGATTCGGACTTGTATCATTCAATTTTGCAGTCACAGACGGTACTGCTAAGCAATTCTAGCTTGAAATTGACCTTCTGTCGGATTATAATGAATAAATTGTTAGGGACACTCTGAAGTAACTACTGTCATGTGTTAAGTCATTAATGTTGGTGCTAAATGAATTCGACTTGTCAAGTTCGCCATGTGATCTCCGTGTATTGATACTTGGCGTTCGGAGACGATTGCCAGGAAGCCTCGATGCTTTGGTGGTTAGTCACCTAACTTGCTAAACACTTTAAAAACTTTATTAACATTAGAGACTATAATTTCATATTAGATAAGTTTATTTAAATTATCACACAGTGATGATGACGCAGTATTAACAACTGGATAACAAGGTTTCGAGTATAAGTTATTCCTGCTAATAATCATATCAATTTAGTCACACAGCTTCACAATTAGTCTTATATATATTTTCTCTCTATTCTGTCTCTCCAGCTTCCCTTTGTTGTCTTCTGTCACTTTGTATGACTCCGGTATAGGCTGCACGTATGCGGTGTTGAATCGATAAACAAAACTTCAGTGATTAACCTTTCTGTCTCTCATCCTGTCGCACCTACACTATTCTGTGATTACATGCAAATGAATGCACTGCAATGGCTGAGCTCTGTTTTTTCTGGGTTATTTAACTTAGCAGAGTCAATTATTCTAGGTCTAGCTAAATTTGCATGTTCCAATAACCTAGTTGACCCTGATCTACTAGTTTGACCAACCTTTGTACTTGACCTCACAATCATTGCATGGTATTTGTTAAATTATACCATTTTTCTTAATTGGATCTATTGGGTGCTTAAGTCGATAAAGTTTATCTCGGGGAGATTTGGTTGGTTTAAATGCCATCCTGATTCCAACCTTATTGAGAATTCTACGTAACGTCTCTGACGCCGCTTCTTAATATGGCACTACTACAGAGACGTCGAATTCTATATTATTTTTGTTATTTTCATCACTTTTATTGCTTGTCTTAGTTTTTCTATGGTTCTTCATATATTTTTGAATAAATTTTGGTGTGTGTGTGTGTGATATGATTATGAGCAGCAATAATTTATGCTAGAAACCATATCACTCAGTTATAAATCTGCAGCAACGTGTGATAATTAAAAAAAACTTATCTAATATGGAATTACATTCTTGGTATTAGATGGTTGGAGGCAATCGGCAGGAAGCTTTCGACACCACCTAGGTTTCGTGCTAGTTGGCACTCATCAGCAGGGAGTATGTGCTACCTTGAAGGGACTCAATTTCCCTCCTGAGATTCGAACCCGCGTGACCCAGTGCTGCAGTCAGAGACGTTACCACTGAGCTATTCAGGCTCGCGATTGACCTCCTGTAGGACTGTATTGGATATTTTTGATTGTACACTAGTCAGTAACTAGTGTAATGCGTCTACTGCTATCTTCACTGCAGACTGAATTCTATCAGTCAAGCTTGCAATGTAGCCACCATGCTAGGTGACTCGCCATTACGGCGCATTGTGAATTGTTAGTAATAGATGGTTGGAGGCAATCGGCAGGAATTACATTCTACCAGAGTGCCGAAGTTCTACACTTACATTAGAGACTATATATATGACATCAGTTATTCCTCAGTGAGCTCTTAGTATATCCATTATAGTCCTACAATTGATTAATCATGAAGCAGAACAGCTCACTGGTAACATTTTTAACCGTAGAACTAAGTGATGCAGATTAAAGTCTCCAATAGGACAACCATCCTTTCAAGTGAGGATTCAGTGATACAATGTTCGTTGGCTACGCACCTGATCTAGGGTTTGATACACAGCTGACACACTCCTATACTTCGATTAACTGGTAACAAGGCCGTATATATAGAGAGAAAGAAGGCTAGGAGTTAGGCTAGCTACTGAGACGTCAAAACCCAAAGCTTTAAGCCCGCTTTATGTTCCACTTGAAAATGCAAAGGTGCAGAAAGATTAAATAAAAAAAATAAAAGTAAAATCCATGTGTGTACATACATTGCAGCATTAAACAATAAAAATCTAAACTTGTTGTTTCTGGTTGAGGTAAACGATTGCCTTTCTCTAAAAAGTTTAACAGATCTCTTGCTGGTATATTTTCATACGGTCTTTGTCCAAATGTACACATTTCCCATAAAGTTACACCTGGAATAAATGAATAAAAGAAGAAAAGTTACAAATAAGTGAAAAGCAAAAAGCAATGGGCGACCAGCTGTTTTGTCCTAATCTAGGACTCTTCATTAGTGCACATTCTTAACCTGACCGACCGGGCAACCAACCAGGGATCGAACTCTGGACCATTCAGCCATTTTCTCGTTCCTTTGCTTCAAAATTGAACTTTGAAATGTCTGTAGTGGTGATGTTTTTACAACGTAAGGTAGCTAGTCTTTCACCTAACCTTCCCTATTTACGAGGCTTTCTGCTGGCTAAGCGAGAAATGGGAGTGTATCAGATGGGGATTGATATCCAGTTTAGAGGTTTCTGTGGCAATTTAGATTGATTCCAATGTAAAGTTTGTTACGAATTATAATCCGTTTGTGTGAAAGGAAATTTGACTGTTTTCAGTTAAACAGATCACTGTAATCTGTGCCAGTTCACTACTCTAAGCTGTGTCCTGAATTACTTATACAAAAGTCAATTACTTTTGACTTTTACTCAAATACGAGTGTAGCAACCAATCAAGTTGAACCTAGGGAAAATCAATCAGTCAACCAACCAACCAACCAATCAAATTCCGATGATCACATTCATTGTGTCAGTGAAATATTTTCTAACTAAATACATTGAGTTCAGTTGGCAGTTTACTGTGGAAGTGTACGCATATGCAGGCTGAATACCATCCAAATCTGGAGCTATTGAAACCTTTATTGTTGTAGTATAACGTTTGAATGTATGACAATGGCTAACAGGGGATAAGAAATCTAGTTTATGTCCAGTGGAGGGTCAATAATCATAACAACTCAGCGACACCCTTTACATTATCTTTGAGATGTGCTACTGACCACAAGTAATACGGTAAGATCTTGTGCTGCTAAAGAATCACCTCAATGGAAGTAGGAGTAATAGATTTGACCCTATGAACTATTGACCTGTGGTTAAGTCATGTTACGAAGTGGCGGAAGGAGGAATCAACATTTTATACACTTGACCTCAATGGTAGATTTCCTGTTTCAAATTTAGATTTCAATCTTCACATCACTTACTGGGGGGATGTTTCGTCCCAGTCTGGGACTCTGCAGTGGTACGCATCCATTACCCCACCATCATGGGTTGAACCTAGAAGCTCCAGGTTTTCAGCGGTTCTCTAGCTCACCTCATTTGGTGATCAGCCTAGAAATCAATCAAATCCCTGCAAACGAACACTTGAAAATTTAGATCTATGCTGTTTTGTGGACGCTGTAATTTGATTTAACGATTTTCGACCTCATACCATCAGTTGTTCCAACACTATCCTTAGATAATTCCATGTGTGGGAATTTGATGTGTTACTTTTTCTACGTTTTCTCACCCTCTTCAAGCTTGTTAAATGGACACTCAACTACCACCTTTCTTCTCACTCAATAACAACGCTTTCTTCCTTTATGCTGTTGAGTATTACGTAATTTATAACTTTTATTTTTTACTTTTGAAGCCATTTCTGAGTAGTTATATCAATTATGTCACCCCCCTTTTACTCAATAATGGACTAGTATACGTTTTCGGTTAATATAAATATGACTGTACAGCCTGTGAAGATGATTTCGTCGATATTTTTTTGGGTGATGTATTTTGGTGAATAATGTCATTCCCACTGCAGTCGTAGGTTATTTTTTGTCTATTGGTATTTTTGTAAACCAGGGAATCAAGAGGCTATTTAAGGATTATATTTGTATTCGAAACACTCATTTGAAGGGACTATTCGCATTCAGTATTGTTCCAACCGTTCCTGAATGCACTCGGTCACATCAAGTAATTATGTCACTGAAATCCAGCTCTTTAAAGTGATATTATCTCAATATTGTTGAGGGAAAATAACCTTCCTTGCTACTGTGCTAATGTGCGAGCTCAGACAGTGGACTTAAAAAGTGACACAGTGGGAGATTGATGGTCTTATCTCATGCTTTCTGATGGATTAAATCTTTTCTATCCTCCTGAAGAAATTCATCTTTCAGTTTCCATAGAAAATGAATCTGTCTACCTCTGAAAGATGCAAATATGACCTGGTGACAGATTGTCACTGTGAGCGTGCTTTCTTCCTGTATAAGCGTATCTCTCCCATCCCATACATTTATATCGTTTTGGTGACATTAAAGTTTCAGGCTACACTGTAAGTAAATAAAAACAGTGTTAGTGTTAGGGATTTTCTTTGAGGTCACGAGAAGGGTAAGTTTCGGAAATTAGGATAAGGAATATATCCTTATCTTATTCAAACTGCAACAGATCACTTTAGGTTGTTGGATTCCTTTGCAGACTGGTATGTAATTTGTTGGGTAGTTTCGAATACCAGCGAAGAGCGTAGAGTCATTTAACAGCCACTTAACAAATATTTGTGTTTATTTATGTGTTGTTTGGACAGTTGAATTGTTTATAAATATTGTATTTAAAAATTTCATGCACCTATTATCACCAATGATATTCCTAATTGGGTTGGACTGGTTTGTACATCAGACTGTGAGTTGAGAGTGGCAAGACAGGACTACTCTGGACCGGTAATAAGACTCTAGAAGATCTGGATTTTGCAGATGATTTATGTCTAACATCGCACACACTTTAAGATTTGCGGACGAAAGCCAACTGACAGGAGATAAGTAGCGAAGAAAGGACTCCAGGGGAACGTAGAGAAGAGGGATATAGTGAAGATACCCACTCACTAACAACAAACAGCACCAATCATCACCAACTGAAAACATTTGACAGAGGTTACTTCTTTCACTTATCTAGGAAGTACCATTTTAACCACAGGCAGAACGCATGAAGATGTCAAATACAGACTCTGTCATGAAGTAAAGATATGCCTTCATCAACCTGTAACCAGTCCGGAAATCTTCTGCACTGACTCAGTTAGCATAAAGAACAAGATTCGAGATTCCAACACCAGCTGTTCTATATGGGTCAAAAACTTGGCGTGCACGTCACTCGAAAAGCAATTCCAACAAGTTACAGGCTTTTGTCAACAACTGCCTTCGCTGGCTGTATATTGAAGATCAAATGGCCAGCCGGCTGGCCAGAAAGAATTAGCGAAAAGAAACTCTGGTTGAGAACAAACCAACAGACGAGAGCCAATTTTTCAACAAATGTGTCACAGAAAATACAAATGGATCGAGCGTGTGTTGAGGAGGTCGCCAAATGAGATCGCGCGCCAGCCAGGCCATTGCTCGAGCAGGGTGTCCTAGGGTGACATGAAGGAGATCATGTGGGGGAGAGATAAGAGGCCGCTGAAAATAGAACAAGGTGAATGTGAGTTGTTGAATCCGTGAAGCTGAACTTAAAAGTTCAACAAAGAGGACATCAGTGTCACTGTTCTAGTCAAAGTCGAAAGTACCAACCATTCATCTCCTTCTTACCACCTTTCGTTATAAACATGATCACTGAAGCGATCTTAGCAGCTGAAGATCGAATCGGCAGTTCACTTTCTTTTCCCTGAATAAAAATCATTTCCTCAAATTATAAGTTTTATGTTGAGAGATAGGCTGTACATAAGGATGAAGGTGGATTCTATGGCTTCAAACAATCCAGGTCAGAGTTAAAGCCATCAAGCCAAAGGCAAAATAACCTACCTTTACAGAAGAAGGCTGGTATCCTCAAATACACCCCTGATTAGTTTCCTTATAGCTAGATATCCTACTTTAGTACTATGTAGCTTTCGACAAATAATACAATTCTGATAGCCTACTTCTATTTTCATTCAATTTTAATTTTTAAAAAAATACATTAGGTACTACTTATTCAACTGGATTCAACGTAGAAATTCTTATACCATCAACTGAACTTACCATAAGCCCATACATCAGATTTACTCGAAAAGATTCTATCATGAATACATTCAATAGCTAACCATTTGATAGGCATACGTCCACCGCTTGCATGATATTCACTATTATTTGTATCTAAACATTTAGCCAATCCAAAATCAGTTATTTGAACCTATAGGGGAAGGAGAATTTGACAGAAAAAAAAGGTAGACGCATTACTTGAAATAAAATTATGGAATAGAAGTTTTTATACGACTGCGATTATTTGTCACTTTTTTAGTTGAAACCTGTTATATTATTATTACTAAACCTTGGTTCCCGAGTAGAGGATAGGACATAAGCAGAGCATTGCCATTTCACTCTGTTCTCCTCCTCCTCCTTCGCCTCCTGTCCTCCAAATCACCCTCGAAGTGACACCCAATTCATCGTTTCCCATTTGGATTCCACAGAAGTGTCTAGCGTAGAGCGTAATGTTACTCAACGTTCTCCTTTAACGTTTGCCCAGTGTATTTCTATTTCCTTATACATAATTATTGAAGATTAGATTGTTGATTGACTGGTTACCTTCTGGAACCCCATGTTGCTTATCCTTTCTCATCAGCCATCGGATTTTCAGTATCCAGAGAAGACAGTAATAAATGAAAGTTTCCAGTAGCTTGTTGGTGAAAATATTTTTGATGATGTGTGTGTGCCAAGTATATGAACCATATGGAAGTACTGACTGACTTGATATTAGTGTTGAAAATATGAATCTTGTTCCTTTTACTGAGTGTAGGACATTTCCACACTGATTACAGATTATTAAAGGCGTGTCTTGCATTTCCGATCCTTTCTGGCTTTGAGATCCTCACTCCTTCCTTAGGTTGCCAGTGGAACATACGGCTTCAGAAAGACATCTCCACTTTCTTCTATTTTCTGATGTCCTCTTCATCTGGGCCCATGACTGCACAAACTCTCTCATCTCTTCCTCACACGATCTCGTCCATGTCACCCTGGTACTGACGACTCACTCGTCGCTTCTTATTGGGGTTCCACTCTAGCGATGGCCTGCATCGTGCGTGATGTCATTCTACGTCCCCCTCGATGTATACCCAATCCATCTCCACTTTCTCCTACATATTCGTGGGGTAATTGGCTAATGATTGGTTTGTTCATCGCTAGAGTTTCTTGTTTCATCTTTACTATGGAGCCGGCGAAGACTGTTGATGAGTCTGTTTACGAAAGTCTGCAGTGGTCTGTTGGAAATCCTTTTCGTGACACACAATGCAAGTTATTGACCCGCATAGAACTAACTGACTGACTGACTTCACATTTGTGTTGAATAGAATTAGAATCTTGTTGTTTATGGTTTTTGAGCTAGTGCAGAAGATTTTCAAACTGGTTTCAGATTGATGTAGGTGAATTTTTCCTTTCCGATTCTGACAGGCTTTGACATCTTCATCCATTTTGAATGCCTGTATTTGAAATGATGCTTCCTAGGCAGATAAGTGAAGGAAGCTATCCTACAAGAAATCTCTCCCATTGATGGTAGGTGATTGGTGCTGGATGTTGTTGTCGCTGTTCGTTGGTTATCTTCATCGCCTCCTTCTTTCGCGTGTAGCTGAAACAAAGTTGCCTGAGTCAAACATGTGAAAGAGGGTTAACTTCCTTTCAGTTTTTCCCATCGATAATGATTGGTGCTTGTTGCTAGTTAGTTACTTAGTTAGTTAGCTGGTTAGTTACCTTCATGACCTCTGTCTCGTCTACGTGGAGTGAAGCTTAGTTAGTCTTTAGTTTTTAGGGGTACAGTCGATTACATCTTTTGAAGAAAATTATTGAGAAAAGAAAAAAAATACATCAGATTTATTATACTGTTGATGGTAAGGCTATCGGAAGGTTAGCAGACTGTTGTTGATCTCACTAGTGATGATTGGAATTGGAGAGAAGAAGATCTCTGCGTCCTAGCACAATTCGAACCAGCTACCTATGAATTACTAGTCCAACGCTTTACCCGCACAAACTACAAGACGCAGATAGAGAGAAACTATTCACCACAATGAGAATTAATCCAACGAAAAACCAATGATATTGCAACATGCTACTTACTGATTGTTGCAAGTAGTTGAAAATCACTCAAGTTAATTAGTAATACTTATTAGTCAGATTTAAGTGGACTACCAGTAAACGATGATATGTTGCTAGGTAATTCCGCAGACATAAGACTAAGACTAAGAATGAACTGTTATTTGGAAGCATTTATTCCAGTATGTTTCAATAGCTTAGCCACAACATGTCGTTTACTTCGAATTATTGAAGTGAGATGTGAACTGTCGACGTCGAGCCAATCAGTAGTGTATCCAGACTGAATCAGAGCAGATGACGAAAATGTTTGGAAGTGCCCAAATTTCAGCTATACACTTGGATGACGTGATAATACATAGAAGTCATGACTCAAAAACAACGATTATTTCAAAAATTAACGAGTGATATCCGCTGCACAATAGGTAGTTGCTTGGGTTCACTAATCTGGGGGATAACGTTTTGCCGATTACGAATATATCGATGTATCATTCGGGTCTCGGTGGGAATACTATCACTGCCTGGGGATGAAGATATATCCAGATGGCCACGCACTATCAGAGATCGTTGAAACATCTGTACAACAAATCGATATGTCAAGAGAGATAGATCACTTCGGTCCGGTGAAAATCAGTCAATAGAAAATTCAGAAGAGTGGGACGTCCAAGGGTAACATGGAGGAGATCGTGTGAAGAGGAGTTGAAACAGTATGGACTAACATGGATGCAAGTGAAAAATACCACAGAAGACAGAAGCAAGTGGAGATGTGCAGTTAAAGCCCTATGTTCCACTAGGAACCCAAGGGAACAATAAATAATAATAATTTCAAGTTTGACCACAGACTGATGACATTTGAAGAATCATTGAAAACAAGCAAGGAGTAGTGGACAGCTGTTCCGTCCTTATTGTGGACTCTTAGACAGTACACATGTATGACTTCATCGCTGGGAATCGAACCCGAGATTCGCTAGTCATAAACGAAGCTCCTTGACGATTCAGCCGCTGACACTAAATCCAGTGATCTATCAACTATAACATCTTTTGTGATGATATTAGATGGTTGGAGGCTGTTGGTAGGAAGCCTTGGACCTAGGTTGCGTGCTAGTTGGCACTCACCATTCAGTCAGCAAGGCATATCTGCAACCTTGAATGAACTCATGTCCCTTCTGAGATTCAAACATGCGTCACCCAGTGCTGCAGTCAGAGACGTTACCACTGAGCTATTCGGGCTCGCGATTGACCTCCTGTAGGAGTGTAGAGGATATTTTGATTTGACACTAGTAACTAGTGTGATGCGTCTAGTCCTCTCTTTGGCGCAGACTGAATTCTATCAGTTAGGTTACCTCCAACCATCTAATATCATCACAAACAATGTACACCGTGATGGCGAGCTACCTAGAATGATGGCCACATTACAACCTGACGGATAGAATTCAGTCTGCACCAAAGAGAGGACTAGACGCATCATACTAGTTGCTAGTGTCAAATCAAAATAACTATAACATCTATCTATTAGTGATTAGAACGCGATTACTAGCCAACATCTTGATATAAGTATAAAACTTGGGCACTGTAGTAGAATAAACTCAATTACGGATAAGATTTTATTTTGATAAGTCACACAGTGCTGTTGTACAGTAATATTAACTGATGACGTTTCGAGGACAAATTATTGCTCATAATCATATCAAGTTACTCAAACAACTTTTTTCTTCATTTATATACATGAGTGTGTAGCCAACATCTTCAGCGAGTATCTGTTCTCACACCCACCCTGGTGTAACCTAACGGTTACTATTTTCCACTAGAAACTGAGAAAACGTCATCCTCTTGCCAGTCACTAGCAAGGATTAGATTAAATAGTTGATTAACTACTACGAAACAGCTGTCAAGTGTTCCTTTCTGGTTTTCATTACTTATATAACTAAAGTCACTACATCACCAATCCTGATATCAAAACATTCCCAACGAACTAACCCTCAAAAAATAATAATTTCACCAGCCCGTTAGTTGTACTTACTTGATCTTTTGACTGAACCAATACATTCCTTGCAGCTAGATCACGATGTATTATACCACGACTTGATAAATATGCCATACCAGAGGCAATTTGTTCTGACCATTGAAATAATGAACTAACTTCAATTGTATCCCATCGTGTTTTAACAAATTCTAACAGGCTACCCATTGGTAAAAATTGTGTAATCAATTGTAGTTTAGATGTTAAACATAAGGCTAAAAATCGGACACAGCATGGATGATCAACAGTTGCCATTACCTGATAAGCAAAAGAAAAGATATTCAATGATTAATGGTATGATCTTAAATTGAATACTGAACAGTGAAATTGTTTATCTACACATGAAATAGTTACCATAGTGACTATGCCGCTCAATTTGAAATAGCTTGAAAACCTGTGTAGATGCGACGGTAAACAGGGAAAGGACTTGCGAGTCAGTTCAGTGACTCAAGAGGAACAAAAACTGACGGAAATCGATAATAATGAAGACAAAAAGACCGAGCACTTTTAAATTGTAGAGTTGTACTGAATATGCGTTCTTGTGGAGGCCGTGTTCGGCTTTTATTTCTTGTCTGAATTTCCGTTTTTTTGATATAGTGATTAATCATTAGAGTTTAAGTAATATCATGTGTTCAGTCATTAGTGTTGGTGCAGACGTCTACCCTGTAGTTACCAAACTAGATACCTTGACATCGTGGTAGACTTGGAATTGACTTAAGGTCAATAGCTTCCTATCAGCTGCCTCCAACTACCTCACATCAGGTAGTTCAGTGACTATATTACAAACATTACTGATAGAATTCAGTCAGCCATAATATAAGGGCCTAGATGCATGACGTCATTTAATCACTAGTGATCGATTAGTATATAAATCACAGTCCTGTGGGCCAGAATGGCTCAGTTGTGGCATCCCTAGCTGCAAGATTGAGAGATGTGAGTTTATACCACAGAAGTGACATTAGTTGCTTTTAAGAGGCACATATACTTTGCTGATAAGTGTCAAAAAGTGTAACTATTGTCTCAAAAGTTGAGTCAGTTGGACACAATTGATCTACTGTGAAACATAGAAGGATTAAGTAAAGTTAACATATTAATAGTGATGAACTTTTAAGGGCAGGAAATTTTACAAACCAGATGAAAAGTTATTCCATATTAGTTTGTTTATTAGATATATCACACAGTGAAACAGTATCATTCATTGAATGACGTTTCGAACACAATTTATTATTGTTCATAATCAGGAAGAAATGGAGATGGATTGGCCATACTCTGAGGAAACCATCAAGTGACATCACTAGACAAGCCATTGCTCGAGTGGAACCCGAAAGGGAAGCGGCGAGTTGGTCGTCAGTGCAAGGGTGACTCGGAGGAGGTCATGTGAAGAGGAGATGAAAGCGTGTGGGCAGACTTGGAGCTAGGTGAAGACTCTAGCAGAGAACCGAACGCAATGGAGACGTGCGGCTGAAGCCCTATGTTCCTCTAGGAATTAAAGGTTATAATAATAATAATAATCATTTCATCAATTATAATCACACAATTTTGAAACTTGAGTTTTATAGTTTTCTTTGTCCTCTCCTATTTGTTGTCGTAGGGGTAGTAGAATTTTCCAGATATCTGGCACAGGTGTTGAATCATTCCTATTACATGTATTTGCAGTTGATTCGATAAACAAAGCTTCTGTTATCAATCTCTCCCTATACCCTGTGACATTAGATTTTAAAACTGTCATCCTATCCCATCCTATTGTATGGTTGTGTGTAAATGCATGCAGTGAGTGCTATAGCTGAACTATTCTCTAGATTTCTTATCTTATTCGGGTCAACCAATCTAGATTTTGCTGCTAGGTTTTTATGTTCGGCTAGTCTGACTGTCCCTGTTCTACCAGTTTGACCTATGTATTTGACCTGACAATCATCGCAGGCAGGGTATTGGATGAACTAAGTTGTTTTGTTTTGAAGGCTCCACGGGATCCACCATTTAACCAAAAATGCTTGTTTCTAATTGAGTTTGTGGGGGGTTTGAATGCCACAGTTTTAAAATCTAATGTCACAGGGTGGAGGGAGAGATTGATAACAGAAGCTTTGTTCATCGAATCAACTGCAAATACGTGTAATAGGAATGATTCAATACCTGTGCCAGATATCTGGAAAATTCTACTATCCCTACGACGACAAATAGGAGAGGACAAAGAAAACTATAAAACTCAAGTTTCAAAGTCGTGTGATTGCAATTGATGAAATGATTATGAACAATAATAAATTGTGTTCGAAACGTCATTCAGTGAATGATACTGTTTCACTGTGTGATACATCTAATAAACAAACTAATATGGAATTACTTACTACCACAGTGCCCAAGTTTTACAAATATATATTCAGATGAAAAGTTACTGAGCTGGAGGTATAGTTAACTGATAAATGTCACTTAGGCACAAATTCGTATTATGGGTTTCAGTACTTCTTATTATTCAATAGTATCGTGGTGAAATAGAATCCAGGATGCACACTTCGTCCTATCTGGGACTCTGGAGCTTGAGGCACCTGCCTATTTTCGAACGGCAAAAGGATATCAGAAGATCTAGATTTCGAAGGTGGTCTATTTCTTGTAAGAATGGAAGACTTACCAGCTGACAAAAGTAGTAGTGATGATAGAACTTCAGGTAAACCTAGAAAAGACGGAGGTTATTAAAATCCACAACCAGTAACAAACGGTAACCACAGTCAATGAGAGAAATCTGAAGGAAAACACCTCCATTACTTTACTGGGAATCAACCTTTCAACAAAAGGCGGCAAAAATGAGTGTGTCAAAGCCAGTCAGGATAGGAAAAGCAAGAGAGGCGTCGACTACTGTAAAAATCTCGGTGACTGCATGCAGCACTTTGCATAAAGAAAAACATCCCAGTTTTCAACACTGAGTACGCATCATCAAAAGCCTTCCCAACAGAATACTGCAGACTTTCATCAACGATTGTCTCCTTCACTCCATACTGAAGATCAGATGACCGCCCAGAATATGTACGTGGCAAGAAACTCTGGCAGTCAGCAAACCAACCGAGAACCTATGAAGGAGGATTGCGTGTTGACTAGGGAGACATTCAAGCGTCATTATACCCCAGGTCATCGAGTGGAAACCTAGTGAGAAGTGACAGGCTTGGCGTGGTTCCGAGGATGACATAGAGGTGATCATCTGAAGAGGAGATGAAAGCCTTTTTCAGTGATGCAGCCGTCTGAACAGCGAATAGAATGATCATGTGCAGTCGAACCTCAGTGTTCCTCTCGGAACATAAAAAATGACTAATAATAGTAATATAATAGTCCACAGGCTAACGAGTAAGAATATCTTTTGAAACTGACAACTAATCATTTAAGCTACTAATGAACAGTGCTACAGTGTACATGAAGTTGATTATTATGAAAAAAGGAGGAGTCCCCTAAATGTTTACCTTTGCTTCCTCTAATAATTCTTTATTCGTTTGTGGATCAGCTGAATCGGACAGCACTTTAATAGCCACCGGTATATGTAGATTAAAATAATTCTCATCGGTTGAAGTTGAAATCGATTCCATATCGTTTGTTGGTTTATTACCATCATAACTGAATGATGTTGATAAACAGGGAGTCCCTGCTGCTGCTGTTGTCGATGGTGTTAACGGTGATGCTCCATTCGCTGTTGTCGCTACCGTCACTGTACTACATGCATCATTCAATGTATCAATTTTCGTCGGTTTATTCAATTTTGGACACCAGACACCACAATAAACTGTGCCGAATGCACCAGAACCAATTGATGGACCACGAATCAATTCTGATTCAGTAATTATGCGTAATGTGGCCATATTTGGCTTTAGGGTGTTGGAAAGCATCATAGGCTGTAATTATTCAAATAGAAAGACATTATTATGTGAAATGATTTGGTTAAATCAATTAACAAAAAGAAAAGAAAAAGGAATCAACTGAAGTGATGTCATGTTGATTTTATCACGATCACTGAACAGCAGTTTCGTCCCGATTTGAAACTCTTCAGCAATGGACATCCATGATCTCAGTAGCGATGGAACCCACAAAAATACAAATTGTGATTTGGAATTCAGTTGCCCAAAAAAATGTAACTTCCACGAATTTCAACTGTAGCGGTTCCGCCAACCGTTTCCATGGATTCACATCCACTTCATCTTGCTTGGTAGTCACTGCTGAAGAATTCCAATGTAAAGAATAAAAATTGTTTGATACGTCTTGGATTTCAGTGATTCCCTAAACAATTCCATTTCGTGGTGAAATGCACACTGAAATTAGTCGAAATTTTCACGAATTTCAAAATTCTGAATGAGGGTTTCACCAGGATATCTGGTATTTGTTTTTTTTCATGTATTCACTTATGCATGGAGGATTCATCATGAGCTGATATCAGTTAGAGAACCACTGGAAAATCTGGGAGTACTGGATAGCTGTTTCGTCCCAGCTTGGGACTCTTCATCGGTACGCTCCCAAACTGTGGGGTTCAAACCGAGTACCTTCTGGTTACAAGGCGAGCTCGGAGGCCATTGAGCCACTGGGACCCGGTCCACCTGGTGGGTTCGTACTGCTGAAGAGTCGCAAACTGGGATGAAACAGCTGTCCAGTACTCCCAGCTGGTTTTCCAATGGTTGTCTAACTGATGTCAGCTCATGATGAAATCCTCCATGCAATCAAACAAAATCCCTACAATACCAATACTTGAATATTCACTTATGGTCTAAACTAAATAAAGGGGGATCTTATGACCCCTACAAATATTGATTGAACGTCATTTCATGTAAAACTTATAAGCTTCACTCTAAATTAGACGAAAAAAACAAAATGGAAGAAATATGGTCTAAGTAATTTGAATAAAGATCCGTGTCACATTAACGAGCTGTCTTTATTGGCTGGTTAATATTGAAAACCAGTTGAATTGGAAGTGTAACATATTTTCTGACGAATGTCGGTATAGTTACAGGATTTCACCATGAGGCGACATCAGTTGGAGAACCATTGGAAAACCTGGGAATACTAGATAGCTGTCTCGTCCCCCTAGTTTAGGACTCTTCATCAGTATGCACCCACTGGGGTTCGAACCCAGGACCTTATGGTTACAAGGCGAGCTCGTATACCATTAAGCCATAGGGACTCGATCCAATGGCCCATGAATTCTAAATTCTGCTAATTCACGGCATAGTGCGAGTATCTGTTCTCCCATCCGACTTGCTTTACCCTACTGGTAAAGAATTCCCACTGGAAAGTGGATAGGGTCGCAGTGGCTTAATGGTCTACGAGCTGGCCTTGTAACTGGAAGGTTCTAGATTCGAACCCTGGCGGTGGATGAGGCGAAGTCCCAAACTAGGACGAAACAGTTGTCTAGTACTTCTAGGTTTTCCAATGGTTCTCTAATGGAGATCAGCTCATGATGAAATCCTGAAATAAGTTTCCTTTAACAATCTTGAGATAATGGCTATTTAAAGGATTGCGATCTAGTGACCTGTCTACTTGATGTGACCTAGATGATGAACCAAGCAGTCAGGCACATCAACTGAATACTAAACATTTCTATTCCCTCCCCAAGATTAGCCTGTAACTACTGCAAGGACGACTGTAATGAACAAAACTATATCATGCATATACACCTTCCACATATGAAACTGTGTCTCGTTATCGATGAAACGACTGGTGATTTAAGGTCCAAAATTGTTAAATGAAATTACAATGTCCACATAACAACATAGATCTAGATTTTCAAGTTCTGGTTTGTAGGGATTTGATTGGTTTCACTTTTGATCACGAAGTGACGTAAGTTGAAGAACCATTGGAATCCTGGGGCTTCTAGGTTTCATATATAGTGATGAGGCTCTAGATGTGTACTGGCGAAGAGTCCCAAACTAAGACGAGAAAACTAAATTTCCAGTACTCCTTGATTTCCAGTGGTTCTGTAACTTACATTATTCAGTTCGTGCTCAATCTTGAAACCTGAATTTGAAACACAAAATCTCCTGACTGAGTAGGTAGGTAATAGCTTGGGATGTTGATTCCCACTCCAGACATAGTGAGAAAATCTTCGGCTGTACGCACCCACCAGGTTTCGAACCTTGTAACCAGAAGGTCCTGGGTTCGAACCCTGGAAGTGGGTGCGTACTGATGAAGAGTTTCAAACTAGGCTGATGAAACAGCTGTTCAATGCTACAGTGCTGGCTTCCCAGTGGTTCTCTAACCGATGTCAGCTCATGATGAAATCCTGTAACCAATAATAGTTAATAATTTGATTTATTCGGAAACATTACTAATGTTAAAGAGCGGAATTTTCAGCATTTGGTACAGTATTACATCTGGTTTAATTCAATATTATTAAAAACAATTATAAAGATAATATTAAAGGATTGTTAACGGCAGTTCTTATTTGGTAGTTATAGTGACAGTGAAGTCATATGTGTACATACAGAAAAAAGTGATACTAATAATAATGTTAGTAGCTAAGATTATCAGTTACTTGAGATAATGTCACCATAGATTACAAATAGGAGATATTGAAAGGGCCAATTATTTAGCTAACAACATAGTAATTCATAAGTTTCACGCTACACTTTGTCTCCAAATATGGTATTGTTGAGTTCCTGTACTCGGTAATACGAGCATATAATCTTCTGCATTGACTTCTAGTTCTAGCAGATGAGATACAGCAATGGGACAATTGAGAATAGAGGGGCTGGGTGTTGAGGGTCAGACAGTATGGATTTAGACCATTTCTCGCATGGATTTAGATGTCTATCAACTAATTTAGTAACAAGCTAACTAAGTTGCACACCACTTACCCTACTGACAATCTTTAATACCCTACTCAAAGTGACATGGTCCTTCTTTAGTAGACCAGGAAGGACTAAGGGGGGGGGGAGCAGTAAAGTACAAGATATAAGAGTTAACAAACTGTAAAAGTAGAGGTTGATTTATTCTAGATTGTCTTAACTTCCTAATGTAGTAGCTTAGATCTTGGAGATCGACAAAATATGGGATGACCAAGTAAGTTGAGAGGATAGAACTATACCAAGGCATTTTGTGTTAGACTTAGTTTCTATTCTACAAGCACCATGTATACTGCCCAGTCGTTGTAGATCGCGTTTATATCTAAAGGCGAAGTCAGTAGTCTGGCATTTTGAGGGATTTAACGTAAAACCATTTAGTTTAGACCACTGAAATGATATCCAACGGAAAGCAATTAAGTTAGCATTAGTCAGATTGGGAATTGACAGGAGGCAAGACAGTCAGATCATCAGCATATTTGACGACGTTGATTTCCTAATAAAAATTGTATCCTGACAGTCACAGGCTTCAGTCTTTGTCTTTTGTGATATCTACGTGACTCTGTGAAGCGGAAGGTACCACAGACGAATAGGTGTACCCATAGCATATCAGTTGAGTTATCGATTGCGTCAGTATTATTATACCCACGTATAAGTCGACTCGATCATATCAATCGGCGACAGATACATAACACAAAATAATTGAGCAAAGAATATCCTTTTCTATAAATTCCTCTTCTGGCTGACTCTTGATAAGAGTATGAATCTAAAATCAAGGTAGCCAAAGGTACCAACAGTTCCTGAAAAGGCCTTATTCTCACAAATGCAGTTCCTTAGGGACAACATCAGCGAGGTACTAACACAGCGCTATAGAAATGTGGTAAAAAGAGCATTTCCTGCTGCCGAATTACGCTGTGTCTTCAAAACCACTCCTCTCTTGGGTTTGGGAGTAAAAGACAAACTGCATAATCTCGCCTCTCCCATGTGTGTGTATCTACCAGTTTAATTGCTCCTGTGGAGCCAGTTACATAGGCCGTACAATTAGGCGTGTTTCCCGTCGAACAAACAAAATCTATTCTCAGTGCTATTCTACCTGATCTTGTGGATACAGAACACAAGATTGACGTTAACCATGCTTACAGGGTCATTTACCACATACCTACGAATCGACTACTAAATATTGTTGAGGTTGTTAGGATCCATATTAACAAGCCTAATTTGTGCGTCCAACAGAAGCTGGTTCAGACATTATCCTTACCCTATTGGCCATCTAGGTTTGAATGATGCTGAATTTTTGTGGAATTTTCCTAATTTTATTTGATATTCTATTTGCTACTATATCTTTATTATTATTATTTAAGCATCTTTAATGAACTGTGGTAATTCCACTGTGATCTTACTTTACAAATCGATATTATTTAAAAAACACTAATATTGTTATTGACTACTATTCTAGGATATTCTATGTGTATTAATATATGCATATATAATTGCAGAGCCTGGAAGAGGAATTTATCGGAAAGGATATTCCTCTTTGCTCAATTATTTTGCGTTTTTTATAGATTTCTGAATGAAGATACATAACAAATTGACGACGAGCTCATTTCAAGTGGCGACATAGATCATAACAAATGTAGATACTCCTTGCTGGCGAGTGCAAACATATACGAAATCTAGGTCAGGTAGGACTTCCATCCGTTTGCCTCCAACCATTTAACAGCAGCAATAATAATTCAAAGTATACCTTGATGGCGAGTCATCTAGCATGACAGGCACTTTGAAAACGTAACGGATAGATTTCAGCCGGCATCAAACGAAGCATATTCAAAGTTTCAGTAGCCATGGTGTTATCTCTATGGAATTCGATTATTAGCCTCTCAACTAACCTTCCTTCTTTTCCGGACTTACTACTAGCTAATAAAGCAGACAAGTCTCCTAGGAAGACGTCGGCTTGGAGTCGAACCCCAACCTCTTGCGTAGCTGGCAAGCATTCTATCAATCAACCACTGACGCAATGAAATCTTATAAGTATTATGAATTAACACAATAATGAAATTAACACTTACCGATATTTCTTCATTCAAAACTTCCATTGTTTTCTCTTTGGTTTCTAGCGATTTTTTACCCACTCCTTGTATCTGTGATCCATTATTATTCCATTCTAAAGAATTCAAAAATTTGTCCTTGAATGAAAATTTACTTCTGCCTAATTGGTTAGCTCCTCCTCTTCTTCTTCTTTCCTCCTTCGCCTTTTTTATCACTGTCGGTCGAGGTTGACCTTGAGTCCAAAATTTCTCGCATCTCATAAGGCATGTTGTAGCTGACGTTTTATTATCTTTACTGGCATCATGTTCAATTTCTGTATCTGTATCAATTTTTACATATTTCATTCGTGTACGTATTGTCCAGTATATGATACAAGCGATCAGTGCTAACATGATCAACAAAGCTGATAGAGCTGATAACAGACCAGCCATTTCTGTAGATAAATATCGATTATGCAAGAATTGTCCAATGAGATAAATCGCTTCACTGTTGTTGTTGTTGTTGTTGTGGTTGTTATCAGTGAATTTCTCTACAAGAATTGGAATAGTCCCAGGAGAAGAAGTGAAATGATCTCTTGTAGCGTGTGAATCATTATTAGCTGATACTACTACTACTACTATGTGGATCTTGTAAGGATCACTGGAACAGACAATATCTCCTGTTCTACTATCTTGTATTTTGTATGGATTGGATTCAGGGCAAGTGTGATTGCATAACCACTGAAAATAGAAAACAAAGAGGGAGGGAGATAAACACGAGTACATCTTTAGAAACGTATAGGTAAGAAAGAGGTGATTAGACGCTTAGAGAATGACTTCTAACGGCTTCTAACGGCCATTGTAGAGTGACTAGTCACTTCTCTAGTCCATGTTGTTCGAGTTGACTGATTTCAGTCAGTGCATTAAAGTGCTGATTACTGACTGATGACACGGCGATGTTGCCTGAAGTCCTACTGGGAAGTCGTGACCAGTAGGTCACATGACAGTGACTGGCAGCTGAGCTATACATATTTATATCTATATATATAATATGTAAGCTGAAGCTTCTGCGTCCGATCACTAATGGATGAGTTCCTAGCTGCATATTGACGAAGAGTCCCACCATAGGACGAAATCAATGCTCCCTGCTCACTTTTATAGTTCTCTAAGTGAAGTTTGCTCGCGATTAAAACTGATTTTATTATTTTACGTTCCCAGTGGAACATAGGACACCTTCAGGCTAGAGCCTTAAAGCTTCGATAGCAGTGGTATTCATTTTTACGGGGTGCAGTTCCTAGCCTCATGCCTAACCTTCCTTCTTAACCAGTCTTATTACTACTGGCTTAGCGAGGTAACGGAGGAGTCCGTCGGTGGCCGGGAATCGGACCTCGAACCCCATACGTAGTCCGCGAGCATTCTACCACAGTGCCACCGACACTGCCAGTCAGTATGCAAGGCGAATTTTATTCAAACTTATTTACAACGTCAGAAGAAGCCTCTTGGAAATGGTATGCCTCTGTAGGCTTTGTGTTCATGAGGCATTAACGATTTGGATGTGAAATACTGATTTACGTTTACAGAAAAGGACAAACTTTCCCCTGCCCTCCTTCTACCTTGTGTATAATTCAAGGTTCAATTATTATTAATATATTATTTTGTGCACTTTTCAAATGACATTTATTGACATCATTTTCTCTCAACTAACCTTTTCTTCACTGTCTTCACCTATTACATAATTTATTTTCACATTTGTCTCCATGGTCTTTCATTAAGATTCAATTTTTTTCTGAAAGTTTTTCATGTCATGAGAACTCAGTTTAAACCTACTAATTTTTACACGCACACACACACCCCTAGTGACAATTTCGATTGTTCACTAATGGTTTAAAATATTCTGATAACGTCAGCAATTATTATTATTATTATTGTTCCCTTGGGTTCCTAGTGGAACATAGGGCTTCAACTGCACGCCTCCACTTGTTTCTGTCTTCTGCTGTACTTTTCACTTGCATCCATGTTAGTCCATACTGTTTCAACTCCTCTTCACACGATCTCCTCCATGTCACCCTTGGACGTCCCACTCGCTGCTTCCCTTTCGGGTTCCACTCGAGCAATGGCCTGACGCGCGATGTCACCCAACGGCCTCCTCAGCGAGTGTCCAATCCATCTCCACTTTCTCATGCATATTTTTGGGGCGATTGGTTATTCTTTTGTGTGTTCCCATAGTTTCTTGTTGGTGATTCTTGTTCTTTCCGGCCATCTGATCTTCAGTAGTATAGAGCGAAGACAGTTGTTGATAAAGGTCTGCAACAGGCTGTTGGAAATATTCTTGGTGACCCGCCAAGTTTCTGATCCATCCGTATAGAAGAACTGACTGACTTGACGCTTGTATTGAAAATCCGAATTTTGTTGTTGATGCAGGCTCAGAGATGAAGATTTCCAGATTGGTTTCAGGTCGATGAATGTGTTTCTCGCCTTCCCGATTCTCGATTTGACATCCTCCTCCGTTCCTTTCTTCTTGTAGTTGAGACAATGCTCCCTAGATAAGTGAATGAAGTAACCTCTTTCAGATCCTTCCCGTTGATGGTGATTGGCGGTGGATGTTGCTGCTGTTGTTGTTGATTGTTGGTTGTTTTCATAACCTCCGTCTTGTCTATCTATGTTCACCTTGAGTCCTGTCTTCTCTGGCTGCTTCTTCGACCAGTTTGTTGGTCAGGTTTCGTTTGTAAGTCTTCGATTTTGTGTGACATCAAACATAAATCATCCACGCGCGAAATCCAGGTCTTCTAGGTTCTTGACGTCGGTGGTGCAGGATATCCCTGTCTTCTTGTTTCCCACTGTCTGACGCAAAATCCAGTCGTGCACCACAATTAGGAATATCATTGGTGATAATAAGCACCCTTGTCTCACTCCTGTGTTTACTCCAAACGCCTCGCTGAGTTTTCCGTTGTGGATCAGTTGACATGTTCCGTTGTCGTACAGCTGTTGAATAAGGTTGATGAATATTTGGGGTACGCCGTAGTACTTGAGTAGTTTTCAAATTACTTCGTGGTCAACGCTGTCGAAGGCCTTCTCAAAGTCTATAAAGTTTAGGTAGAGATTTGATTGCCATTCCATGCTTTGTTCGATGATGATGGGTAGAGTTGCAATTTGGTCAGCAATACTCCGAACTAAAGCTTTAGTTTTGTATTATGTGCACACATACAAACAGAAATAAATACATACAATTGCTATTCAAGTACTAGTATGTAGGGATTTGATTGATTGGTTACAGGATTTCATCATGAGCTGACGATGGTTAGAGAACCACTGGGAAACCAGTAGGGAGCATTGGAAGGTTATTTCGTCCTCCTAGTTTGGGATTCTTCGTCAGTATGCACCCACCTCCAGGGTTTGAACCCAGAGACCTTCTGGTTACAAGGCTGGTGAGCTAGCTCATAGACCACTTAGCCACTGGGAACCGATTCAATGACCACTCCATGAATTCTAACTTCTACCAGTTCATGATATAGCGAGACCACTAGCCAATGTCTTCGCCGAGTATTTGTCCTCACACGCGACCAGCTGTACCCTACTGGTCACGACTTCCCACTAGAACTCCAGGTAACTATCTATCTGAATAGGACCAGCCGCTAGTGAGCATCTCATTGATATTCAAGTATTGGTTGCGATTGGACAGCTAAGTGAGTGAATTCACTATATAGCGCGACCACTAATCGATGTCATCCCTTGGGCGAGTATCTGTCCTCACACCCGACCTATTGTACCCCACTGGTCATAATCAATGAAATTCCTGCAAGCCAACACTTCGATATTAATCTGATGCTCACCAGTGACTGGCTTCATTCAGCTAGGCAGTTACCTGGAGTTCTAGTGGGAAGTTGTTACCAGTGAGGTAAAGAGAGTTGGGTGTGATGACAAATACTCACCATGGATGACACTAACTAGTGACAGCCGAGATACATGGTGAATTGGCAGAAGCTGAAATTCATGGACTGACGATTGGACCGGGTCCCAGTGGCTTAATGGTCTACGAGCTCACCTTGTAACCAGAAGGTCCTGGGTTCGAACCCCGGTGGGCGCATACCGATGAAGAGTTTCAAACTAGAACGAAACAGCTGCTCAGTACTCCCAGCTGGCTTTCCAATGGTTCTCCAACCAATGTCAACTCATGATGAAATCCTGTAACCAATCAATCAAATCCCTAAAAACCACTACTTGAATATCAATGAGATGCTCACTGGCGACTAGCCCTATTCAGTTGGGTAGTTACCTGGGGTTCTGTTGGGAAGTCGTGACCAGTAGGGTGCAGCAGGTCGGGTGTGAGCACAGATACTTGCCACCGGTGACATTGGCTAGCGGTTGCGCTATATCGTGAATTGGCAGAAGTTAGAATTCATGTGTCATTGGATCGGGTCCCAGTGGTCTAATGGTCTACGAGCTCGCTAGCCTTGTAACCTGAAGGTCCTGAGTTCGAACCCCACGGTGTGGTTGCCTGCTACTGAGGCGGAGTCCCGAGCTAGTACTCCCAGGTGGCTTTCCAGTGGTTTCCTAACCGATTTCAGCTAATGATGAAATCGTGTAAACAATCAAATCAAATCCCTCCAAGCCAACACTTGAACCTACAGTGAATTGTTTGTTCATAAATATAATAATGCTATAGCTTTGCAATTAATAGTGTTCTCTGAGCTGGTTCGTTTAGTTGCGGAGCTTTCGTCGTCCTTCTGGACAACATCTTCAGCGCAATATTTCGCATAAAGTGAAATGATTTAAATTTCTTCATGAGTGATATAATTGCGTTTCCTGGTAACTATCTTTACATAGCTTAAAAGGTTTAACGAAAAAATGGTTTTTCAAAAAAATAAATAAACTTACTGAATTCTTTCCTGAATCAAGATATACTTTAACATGTCGGCAACGTGTACATTCTCTGGCTGTTGGCCCAGTACAACCATTTTCACATTCTTTATGACACGGTAGACATTCAGACCAATTTACTGATGATTTCACAATATCAAGAGACTGTCGATTTGTATGAAGATAGTTTGGTTGACTGAAGTCAAGGTTACTTAAGAATCTTTTCTGAGGAAATGTTCCTATATACAGAGAAATAATAAAATGCATGGGGATATTTTTAGGTTTACGTAATTAACCTACTTTTATTGCTAATAGTAAGCACTGTTCTTCATCCTAAGTGGGACACAGGGCTTCAGGCTTGAAGCTTTGAAGTTTTAGTAGCCTTGGTGAAATTTTTTCTGAGTATGGTAGCGAACATGACACGTAAAACCAACCGCCTTTTCCAGGATTACTACGCATTAATTAACTAGGTCAGGTTAAAACTGCATCGACTGGGAATCAAACTGCCGACCGCGTATTTGGTTCTTATTATTTTATTATGTCATGTTATGACAGCTCATGTTACCTGTGGTGATTTCAGTGGAATGATAACCGCGTTAGCAGTTACGTCTCACAGTTAATCCTGTTAGAGCTGCGGATTAGTAGTTCAAAAGCTACTAGTTTGAATTCTGTTGCAACCTAGATTTTCATTTCATAACTTTCAGTTATCACTATTACACAAAAGCTATCCTAGACAGCCTCGCTGTCAAATACATGGTATAGAGATGAATAAAAGTTTGATAATGTTTCTCATTATGTGCGCGTAGATGATTCAGTGGTTGAATGCTCTGACCAGCCACGTACATGGTCAGAGGTTCAATTCCCAGCTGACGTACAACTGAACCCCACTCAGGCGATACTAAATCTGGTAGGAAGAAGAGCTTGGACATGAGGCTGCCAGTCCTACCCCGTGAAAGATAAGGTAATTACTACCATAACTTGAATTCTAGTGTCTCATTCAGAACGAAAAAGAATGAAAAGAAACTGATGACTGTGAAGGAGAACTGAAAACTTGGATTATTGAAGATTTCAAGAAAACAGCCTCTTAATCACCATGATTATTCAGTGTACTGAATGATATATGAGACCAGGCTAGTACTCAGGTAGTCATTTCACTGCAGTCTACAAGGACATAACTTCACTATGGATAAGAATTTATTTTGATATATCACAGTGTTATACAGTAATATTAACTGATGACGTATCCATATCTTATCTTATCTTATCCATAATGGAGTTATACTGTACCGCAGTGCCCAAGTTTTATACTTATATCAGTAATACAAGGACATAGTCTAATTGTTCAGGTTACAGCAGATCCACTTTTGGGTCTTTTCCACCCACTTGTTATCATAATGCAATGGTAATATAAAATCAAGGTAGCTTCTTAAATATCGTTGGCGAGGGTCTGTAGAAGACTGCCGCTACTTCTGGAACACATGCGTAGACTCTGATCGCGCCATGGTTCACGCAAGTTTGTGCTCAAGTTGCGTCAGCCTCAAAGGATTGATCGCTGGCAAATTCTCAGCACGGACACAGAAGGCTCATTTAGCATATGTCACTTTACGCCGTCTCTGGCGTAGAAGTGATATTCAGCTGACTGTCAATCAAAGGGAGTGTGTACTGCTCAGCAGTCGCTTCGCTCCGTCCTCCTATATAGCTGTGTGATACATGGCCATTGAAAGTGTAAGACATGAAGGGGCTAGCTGTCTTTGATCATAGGTGCCTGCGTTCTATCTCCGGTGTGAAGTGGTGGTATAATGAGGTTATCAATATTGAGGTTAGGTTTCGATCGAGTGCCAGGTGAGTCGGAGGGGAAATCAATAGACGCGGCTGTGAAGTTACATCGAATGAAAGAGACGGCTAGGACATGTGTTACACATGCCTAGTCATCGCCTCCCTAGACGGACAATGCCAGCTGATATAGGGTCAGGCTGGAAAAGAGCTAGCGGTGGTCAAACCAAAACATGGAGGCATCAGTAAATGAAATCCACAACAGTTACTTTTAGCCTGTCATGTAGGAAGATGTAGACTTCCTGGTTGGGGTTCTTGGGTCGGTAAACACCGATGAAGGCTTGAGACAATTGGTGATATGGCTCAAAGTGATCTTTCTCAATGACTGGTGCAGATGCACATACTCCTTGTGACTTATAATACCCAATAAGACTATAATGTTCTTCGATATAACTATTCTTTTTGCTTCATATCTCTGTTTACTGTCTCTATTTTGTATTTTTTTGCCTTCTTCTCTTACTTTGTGTGCTACATGCAGGGAGTATGGCAACTCAAACTGCTGCAAATCTGTGCAAAGTTCTATGTTGAAACCAGTCAGTCTGCTTCTTGATTCTTTGAGAGAATATTTAAGATAAGAGAATTTTTTTTGATTACAGCTTGATTCCACACCGTATTTTTGGTACAAGTATGGAATTTTCAGCATGTGATATCGGTAGCCCAAATTTTGCAGGCCGACCATAGATATCAGGTGTACGTTGGAAGGGTATCGAACCCCGGACCATGTACATGGTCGGCGAGAGTCTTAACCACTGTGCCATCGAAGCACAAAGTTAAACTTTAGAAACCTAGCAGGTGCGAACGCACCAATGATCTTGGAGCACTGAGTCGGAGACAGCAATGCAGTGGAACCCGGCAAAAAACCCTACACTCATGGAAAGAAGTGTTGAGGGAAGTGCAGTAGTATTAAACTAAACATCTGGTTATTTTTAGGTTAACTTTAGGCTAGTGAAAGGTTAAAGTTAGGACTGAATTACGGGCACAAATTTTTTCTTTTAAATCACACTGATGCATTCTCGCTTTTTGGCTACCTAAAGTTTAACATTGTCACAGTTACGTTGGTAATAAGGATGCTTCTTTTTAGAATTCGATTAAAACCTAACTTTTTGATTTAGTTTTCGTCATCACACCACATTATGTAACTAACTGATTACAAGGAAGCGGCTAAAAATGAAATCGGTGGATGAAACCATTAGCTGCTGGGGTAGAATATTTCGTGTTTCATTTTACGTGGGCATGATAATCTTTCTATTGGGCACCAAATCTTGGACCTTACACAACCAACTGAACTGACTTATTTAACCACTGACCCTGAGTAACTGTGCATTGGTTGGAAGTATATATATATATATATATATATATATGATGTATTATTGTCAACTGATGTCAGAGCCTAACCTTCGAAAATGCAACAGTCTGATTGAGCGCCAATACCAGGATACAAGTAAAAGTGAAGTATTGCCGATGCATTAGGAGGCTATAACATATACTAGCATTAAGATTAAACTTGTGTATGTTAAAATCTGAAACCTCCTACCTAGATATGATATTGAAAACAAAAATTTCATACATTAATTCCCCTTAATGAATTTGAATAAAGCAAAAACAACAGTTTTTAGAGAAGAAAAATGGTACCATCATTGCTTATCCCGTTGACTTCTCATCAGCTGCTTACAGGTCAAAGTCATGATTAACTATATCTACAGAAACAATCTTAACATACTTACCCAAAGACAGTTCATTTTTAAACAAAAATCAATCAATAAATATATGCATATTATAATAATATATATGATAATAATAAACACTTTATCCTGATCAATAATTATCATGTACAATAGAAACTTTCGACATTAAGTAATCAGATGAAAGAGAGATGAAAATATCCAGTTACCAGGGTAAGGAAAGACTGATAACTGTTTCTTTCTGAATGCACAAATCAAGTTTCAGGCACTTGATGGAGATTGCTTTGGCAAACTTGAGGAGAATTGAGCTCTTTTGCATATTGATAATTTTGAACTATCTTGCAACACCCATCTCATGACCCATGTCAAGGAGGTGTCTGGTGATAGCACTGTTTAAAGTATTTGTTCCCTTTAGACATAAGCTTTTTGGCACATGTTCAGAAAATCGTAGATATGCCCTTCTTTCTGTTCTTCTAATGTCACTGCTCCCTCAGATACATGTAAATTTGTATATACAGTTGGAGTTAAGATGAGAAGGATATCTATCTATTTTTGATTGTACCAAAGAGCAAGTTGTTCAATAGACAGGAACCAATTTAGCTAGCTGCAGGATAGGCTCTGGCTAGTGATGTACTCAGTCTTCTGCTGACAATTGCTGCAATGTTTTCACCTTTATAATCAAGTTGAATGTAGACTGGCTTTTTCTCCACTGTGGTTTGCTTGACGTTTGACACTTCAGATCCTCCGTACTTGTTAATGAATCTATGAAGGTAACTGTTGCTTTCAACATCCTTTCGAGAAACACAAATTCTTCCTCTAATTTTCCTATTGAGCATAATCTCCTAGGTCTATAGTATACAGTCCTGACTAGTGCTCGTTTAAAGCTATTTGGACAAAAACTATTAAAATGTAAGTATTATCCTTTCCATGTAGGCTTTCGATAAATTGACTTCTGAAGACTACCATCTTCTAGGTGTTGCATGTTGCATTGTCAAGGAAGTGGAACTATCCGTCATTCATTATTGGTATGTGCGTCATTGAATAATCTGCGTAGGTTGGTAGAAAGTATGACTTTCATCGTTACACACTACAAATGTGTCATCTGTGACATATCGACAATAAGTTGTTTCGTCGATTGTGTGCTTCAACTTTGTTCCTTCAAGGTTGGACATATATGGACAAGTATGTTAGAATTGTTACTGTAGATATACCTAATAATGAATGAAACTGGCCTGTGAGCAGATGATGAGAAGCCAATGAAATAAACAACAATAATAATGGTACCACTTTATTCTGCAAAAAACCACTATTGTTCGTGTTTTATTCAAAAACAACAATTACTGCCCAAAAATATATACTACTGATTGTTTGAAATGAGTAGTCACATCAACCAATATTGTTTGCTCGCTAGCCAGATCGAAGTGATCTAAACACTGATTGACAGCTATTTCACTAGTTTGGGGCCGATCGTATCAGCGGTGTGTTCCATTCAACTGAGCTCAAACAGCCAAATTAGTTCGAACCACTCGATTTCTGGAGCACTGCTTAGGCCAGCTAGTGGTACTATAAATCAGATAAACAGCTTGCAAATTAATCCCACAATTCACACAGTTCAAAGCCAGAATACACCACAGTTTTATCACTAGGAAAATCAAAATTGTTATTATTATTATTGTATCCTTAAATTCCTAGAGGAACATAGGGCTTCAGCCGTGTGTCTAACCAGGTACATCGCTGATGAACTTCGCCCAAAACAATCAAAACAACAGTCCAGTGTTTATTATTATTATTTCCTTTAATTCCTAGAGGAACATAGGGCTTCAGCAGCACGTCTCCATTGTGTTCGGTCCTCTGCTAGAGTCTTCACCTGGCTCCAAGTCTGCCCACATACTTTCATCTCCTCTTCACATGACCTCCTCCAAGTCACCCCACCCTTGCACTGACGACTAACTCGCCGCTTCCCTCTCGGGTTCCACTCGAGCAATGACTTGTCTAGTGATGTCACTTGATGGTTTCCTCAGAGTATGGCCAATCCATTTCCATTTCTTCCTGCCTATTTGTTTCACAATCGGTTCCTGCTGTGTTGGTTCGCTCCCAGAGATCTCTATTACTGAATTTTTCTGGCCAGCCATCTGATCTTGAGTATTGAGCGAAGACAACTGTTAATGAAGGTCTGTTGTTTGTTTGAGATGCCCTTTATGACGCGCAGTGCAAGTCTCTGGTCTGTATAGTAGCACTGACTGACTTCACATTGGAGTTGAAAATCCGGATCTTATTTTTGATGCTGAGTGCTGTTGACCTCCACACAGACTTGAGAGTAGTGAAAGCTTGTCTTGCTTTTCCAATTCTTGCTTTGATATCCTCGTCAGTTCCGTCCGCCTGTAGTTGAATCGATGCTTCCCAGGTAGGTAGGTAAAGGGGGTTGCTTCTTTCAGATTCCTCCCATTTATGCTGACTGTTGTCAGTTGTTGCTGTTGGTGGTGTTGCCCGGGAATCTTCATCACCTCTGTTTCATCTATGTTCACCTGAAGTCCTATCTTCTCTGGATGCTTCTTCTGCCAACTTGTTGCTTTTTATTTGCATATCATCCAGTTTGTGGGAAATCAGACATATATCATCGGCGAAGTCCAGATCCTCCAAGTTTTTGTGTGAGTCCATTTTATGCCTGTTTCCTCATTGCCCGCTGTTTGTCGCATTACCCAATCTACTGCAATCAGGAAGATCATTGGCGAGTACTACTTGTTGATGTGATACTGTATGCAACTACTGATCTCAATCAATCAGTAATATGTACTTTTACGCAGTAATTGTTGTTTTTCATTGTCATATCTGGGTAGGAGGCTTCAGATTTAAAAATATGAAATTTTAAAATATTGGTTTTGTAGGGATTTTTGTTTGTTTGATTGGTTGGAGGGCTTCATCATGAGCTGACACCAATTAGAGAACCTGGGGATAATGGACAGCTGTTTCCGTTGTCCTAGTTTGGGACTCTTCATCAGCATGCACCTTACGCCAGGGTTCGAACCCCGTACCTTCTCGCTACAAGACGAGCTCGTAGACCATTAAGCCGCTAGGACTCAATGGAATGGTTCATGATGGAACCATCCAACTAATCAAACATAATCCCTAAAAAACCAGTACCTAAAAATTGATCTTATGCTCACTAGTGACTGGCCCTATACAGGCGGTTAACCTAGGGTTCTAGGGAGAAGCCGTGACCAGTAGGGTACAGCATGTTGAAGGCCAGGCAGTAACTCTTCGAAGAAGACATCGCAAAGTGGTCGCACTTTGTCAAAAATTGGCAGAATTTAGCATTCATGGGCTGTTCACTGTATCGGGTCCCATTGGCTTAATAGTCTACGAGCTAGGTCGGCTTATAACCCGAAGGTCCTGGGTTCGGATCCCGCGGTGTGGGTGCGTACTACTGTGGAGTTTCAAGCTAGGGGGACGAAACCGCTGTCCAGCATTCCAGTGCTGGTTTTCCAATGGTTCTCTAACTGATGTCAGCTCATGATGAAACCCTCCAAGTATATAAAATTTCATCTTAATGCTAGTATATGTTATGGTCCCCTAATGGTTGATGCTATCGGGATGCTACTACTTATCTGAATCAGTCAAGATCAGATCACATTTTCTAGTGATCTGAATAATTTCGGTTGGGCTGAAATTTCACCTCCTCGAACTGTGCAAACTGCGAATTAATTTACAGATTATCAATTGTATTCAACATTCACTGTTCATTGAAACCAGTGAATCCAGGGGTGTGCTTTAACGTCACTCTACACTAACCTTATCACACATCTGAAAATCACCATAGAAACTAACAGTGCGTCGGTGGCACAGCGGTAGAGTGCTCTTCGACCTCGCCGTACGTGTTCCAGGGCTCGATCCCCGGTCGACGGACGCACTCTTTTACCTCGCCAAGCCAGGAGTAAGACTGGTGAAGAGGGAAGGTTGGGTATGAGGCTAGCAACTCCATCCTGTAAAAATAATCACCACTGCTACAGAAACTTCAAACCTCTAGCTTGAAGGTGCCCTATGTTCCATTGGGAATGTAAAGGAATAAAAAAATAGAAATTAACGAGTGAGGATAAAAGCCATCGCTAGGTGATTTCGCACATAGTATAGCAAACGTCATTACAGTCATTCTAGCTGCGAACAAATATCGATAAATCACCTATAAAACAGTCAAATATAACGCATTTGATATGGTGATTACAAGATTTCTTCAAGATTGAGATACAGAATCAACTTCCTGAGGAAATTCAAATATACACAAGTATACTCAAAATGTAAGCGCCTCAAGTTTGTTACTCAGTAGGTTATATCCTTGCACAAACTAACAGATAGCATCAACAACAATCACACCAATGAAAATGTCATATTCTTACCGATTGGACAAGCTGAAACACAACGACCTTGATAATTTGCATTTGCACAACGTACACATTGTTCTGGACTTGGTCCATAACACGCTACAGATGATAATCCTATTTGATGAATTGATTTTCTTGTTGATACACTCATTTCTTTATAACATTGTTCATTACACGGGAGACAGATTTGTGCCAGCCCGTATAACTTCGGTTGTGTATGATTAACTAACCAATTAGCTAATTCTTCGATAATTTTTGTTGAGAATTTATGAAATAAGCCTGCATCAGTTTGACTCCATGGAAAATGTGTGAATAGTAAGTCAGTTGTTTTTGTTGTTGTTGTGGTTGCTGTTGTCGATTCATTTATGCCTTTTTTCTTCATGTGAAGATTAACTGTCGATTGTGGATAGACACTTGATCCACCTCTGTGATGTAAATTGATCACGTGTAAATAAGTACCAAATGGGCAACTCTGGAAACGGAGAAAGAAAGTATGTGAATTTATAAGTTAAAGTGTAATGAGAGCTGGCTACGAACAAGCCAAAGTTGTGTTTAGGTTCCGAATCGAGGTCGTGAGCAAAAATAATAACAAACCTTGACCTTGAGGAACTCAACAACCAATCACGGCAGACTCAACGTGTGCAAATACAATTCGCAGATATATGGCTTAACTTTCTGAGAAACGATCAGAAGCAGTACAGAATAACCTGTAGCAGGAAAACAACCAATCAGAAGACGTTGCTTCTCTGCTGACAATAAAGTACATAGAAATCTATAAATATCTGTTGATTTTCTCAAAAAACGATCTGTTCCCTGGCCGTTGTCTACTGTCGTTACAAAAGTAGACGATAATTTACTACGTGTTGTGTCGACAAAACTACCTACTATCATTGATAACACTCCCCACTGTGGGGGACGGGATCATACCATAGACAATATGGAGTAAGAAGACAAGAATACGTTGGACAGAAAAAAGACTCAAAGAAATCTGAATCTCATGGATTATTTATGTAGATCTGTAGGAGAAAAACCAACAAGTTGACAGAAAAGTCAGGCAGTGAAGGCAGAACTTCAAGTGAATATAGGGAAAACAGAGGTGATGAAAATATTCACAATCAAAAGATGAAATTTGTAAGAAATCACCTCTTTCACTTATCTGGGTTGCATTGTTTCAACTACAGGCAGGCAACATGTATGAAGATGCCGAAGCCAATCAAGACTGTAAAGGCAAGACACACCTACATTAATATGTAATCAATGTGGAAATCTGATCCGTTAGGAATAAGGAACCAGACTTGTATTCTTAACACAAATGTCACATGAGTGCATCTGTATGGTTCAGGAAAATGGTACACCATGAAAGCACTAATCACAGAATGCTGCACACTTTCATCAACAGCCGACCTTCCTAGCCCTATACTGAAGATCAGACAGTCACCGGTCAGAAAAAATAAGTAACAGCAGGCTCTGACGACAACACACCCACCAAAACCTACATTCCAACAAATACGCCAAAGGAAACGGGAATGAACTGGATACACTGAAGAGATCATTGAGTGACAATACGCGTCAAGTCCTCGAGTGTAGCTTGAAGGGGAAATGGTGAGTTATGTGAGGGGAGAATGAAAGCTTGTGAGCAATGGTGGAGCCATTTGAAAGTAATAACAGGGAACCAGGTGGAATGAAGATGTGCTGCTGAAGACACGCTAAAATTGTCGCTGCCAGTTCGTATTCCACTTCGGTGCCTGACACTTGATGTCATTTGAATGTCTCTTCAGCATTTATACCCCGTACATTTGCACTTCCTTCTACACATTTGTTGAGTAATAAGTTGTGTTGGTTTGTAGGCTGCTTACCATAGTGTTCTTTGTTGTTTATTCTTTCTGGTCAACTAGCCATTCGATTTTAGGTATTTAGCCGAGGAACATGTTGACAAAATTCTACAGAAACCTGAAGGTAGTCCTGCTATGAAATATATGTCTTGATAAACTATTTAACTCCCAAATGACGCATAGCAGAGTGAATCTTAATGGTTAGACAGTGTGATTCAAAGAAATTAAAGCAAATTATTCACTAAGGCGTCACCAAAGAAATGCATCTACTCCTTGGTATGAGTGTGAACAGAATTCGATCACAGTCAAGTTCACATTGTAGTCACCAACCTAGAAGACTTGCCTTTGCAGTGGATTCTAGATTGATATTAGGTAGTTAGAAGTAATCTCCTGGAAGCTGAATAATCTCAGATGGGACACCACTTCCAGATACGCATTGCTGTAGAGTGTCGACCGTCAGAAAATCCAGGTTCAGCGCTTCCTAGCGATCACCGCTAAACTTAAGAAAATAGATACGCCATTTATCGACAACTGGAATCAAGTCACCACTGGCATCGACCACACTGGCAGTAAAGATGTTTGCACATGAAACTGTAGTAGTGTTATTTAACTGACTATTGATCCCAACCCTAAATTTCTCATAGCAGTATCTGATTTCATTTCCATGCAGCATCGAAGGTGAGAACAAGAGTAAGACAAATCAATCGTGTTACGTTGTGTTTTTTTTTCTTCTGATGGTATCAATTGCAATGAAAACGAATCACATTCAACTTACATTTACACACTTTAAATGATGATCTGAATCTTTTGGCTCCAAATTTAAAACTGTTCGTTTACAAAAATAACACCCACCAACCCCTGGCCAATCTCCATTGCCGGAACAATGATGTTGCATTGTAAGACCAGTTGTCTGATCGAAACGTTTGCCGTTCGCTGATGCATTATCTTCTCCTGTATCTACTGGCGGTGTACATGCTGTAGAACATTCCATGCATTGTTTACTTGCGGAATCTGCATATTTATTAGGCGGACAATAAGCTCTACAGAATGGACCATCCTTGAAAAATGAAGCATAAAAGGGAGGAAATAAAAAGTGTTAAGTGTTGTTTAACAATGTGCCACAGATAATTAACCTTTAAGTATTTTAAAACGTTGAATGCCTGACATTTTTAAATCAAAATTGTTGTCACGATCTAGAGATTTGACTCATCAATAAAAGCAAGGACACTGAAGACCTTCGTAGACATCTGCTACTTAGCCACCTGGATTCTGAAGATCAATTGGCCGACCGACTAGAAAGGATATGCAACGAGGAACTCCGTTAATGAACCAACATAGAACCTTTCTCCCCCCCCCAAAAAAATATGCAGAAGAAAGAAAAGGGAGATGGAATGATGAATATACACTCTCATCAGTCAAAAACAGGATAGAAACATTGTCATCGTAAAAGCTGACAAAGGAAACTCTACAGTAACTCCATTATGGATTAGATTTTATTCAGATAAATCACACAGTGTTGTTATACAGTAATATTTACTGATAACCACCTTTCGAGCACATTTTATCATTGCTCATAATCATATCAATCCACTCACACAGCTTTCTTGCTTCATTTTTATACATGAATAAAGATTGATTGGATATTTGAGTAAAAACCAATATGGGATAATGTACATTCAGAAATAATAATATGGATGTTATTGATCAATTACAATCAGATGGGAAATAAGACGAGTGTTTTTATAGTCAAAATAAGTAACTTGTTAGAATGTTGTAATGTGTTTAAATTGAAATAGAATTTTAAGATTATTTATTATCCTCCTCTGATTTGACTGGTGGTGATTATATCTTCCATACATATCTCTGGTATTTGCATTGAGTCATTTCTGCTGCATGTGTTGTGTTGGGTTTAGACTCGATGAACCCGGATTCAGTAATCAATCAACCTCTCCACCTACATAGATTACTTCTTAGAATCTTAACCCTCTCCCGCCCCATTGTGTGGTTGTGTGTTAATGCAGGTAGAGCAGTTGCTGAAATTTCTTTTGAATTACTCATCTTCTTGGGGTCAGTCATTCTACCTTAGTTAAATTCTTATGTTCTGACAATCTGATTACTCCCGATCTACTAGTTTGACCTATGTAGTTGACCTCACAGTCATTGCAGGTTATTTTGTAAATTATATTATTTTGTTTAATTGCGTTCACCGGGTCTTTTAGCCTACTGAGCTTGTCCTACCTGAGTGAGTTTGTAGGTTTGAATGCCACCCGAATTCCTGATTTCTTGAGAATCCTACGTAGGGTATCAGATGTCCCCTCCTTATACGGTATAACAGTAGATGACTTATATTATTATGTAACACTGTGTGACTTATCAAAATAAAATATTATCTATAATGGGGTTATACTCTGCCACAGTGCCCAAGTTTTATACTTATATCAATAAAACCCTACAGTAGTTTTGGATAAATCTGACTATATCAAGAAAGTCACTGAACATATTGAGACGGGACCATATAAGGAATTTTAAGAAGCCTGTAGATACAATAATGAATAAGGTAAAGAAATCTACACCCGGAATTAATACGCAGAATGAAGCCGTAACTGGGTGAGTCTAAATGGTTTCTAATTTAATGCCTAAAACTAATAATGCTAGTAGAATGTATGGTACTATTAAAATACATAAGCCAGGTTACCCATACGACGACCAATAGTAGATTTCAGAAATACCCCAACTTATGAATTATCAAAACACTTAGCTCTAATATTATGCCCCGTTAGAAATTGTTCAAACTGTAGACTAACTAATTCATATGAGATGAAAAATAAAACTAAATGACATTCAACTAGAGAATGATGAAACAATGGTTAGTTTTGATATAACCAGTCTTTATACTAATATACCAATCATTATGGCCTTGGAAGCAGTCAAAAAGGATCTAACTGCAGATCTTGAACTCACTCATAGGATGAAGCTGCCCATTGAAATTATTTTAGGAATTCAGTTATGTTTCACAGCTACTATCTGTAAATTCTACGGCAAAATATATGAACAAACAGAAGGTGTAGCAATGCGATGGATCACCAATATCCCCCTATTGTAGCAGACATCTTTATGGACAGATGGGAAAATACTGCTCCTAATACATTTAATCCCACTCCAAAACTATGGTGGAGATATGTGGATGACACTATCACTCACAGTGTTAAAAACAGAACATATCTCTAGCTTCTTGACAGACATATATAAACTCACTAGTAGAGGGAATAAAATTCCCATTTGAATCGGAAAATGGACAAAGAGAATTAGCTATCATGTTAGGTGGCAAAATAAGACGAACAGAGGAAGGTAAACTGCACACTAGCATTTACAAAAAGCCAACGCATTCTAATATTGGATATTTAGACTTTAATTCATCTCATCCGTTATCTGTCTCTGAAGACAGGCTCAGTCAAGTGTCTAAGGGACCGAGTAACAATATCACTAAGTAGTACAACAAAAAGCTTAAACGATGAAATGAAACAGATAGAAGAATAGCTGGTTGGTGTTAAATAACTATCCTATAAAATTCATTAGGAATATCAAAAAAGGTCAAAAGCAAAATAAAAATAATTGTGAAACTAATAATGATAACATAAATGAGAAAGAATACAAGGCATATACAGATCTACCATATAAGGAGGGGACATCTGAGACTACACGTAGGATTCTTAATAAAACAGTAATTAGAGTGGCATTCAAACCTACAAACTCATTCAGGGACAAGCTCTGTAGGCTAAAGGACCCCGTAGGTTGACCCAATTAGACTAAATAATACAATTTACAAAATACCTTGTGATAACTGTGAGTTCAACTACTTAGGTGAAAATAGTAGATCAGGAGTGGTGAGATTATCAGAACGTAAGAGTTTTGCTAAAGTTAGAATGATTGCCCCCACTCGCTAAGATAAGTAATTAGGAAAAACGCTCAGCAATTTAACTGCATATATTAACACAACACTACACAATGGGGTGGGAGGGGGTTAGAATTCTAAAAACTAATATAGGTAGGTGGAGAGACACATCGATTACTGAATCCTGTGTGGTTCATCGAGTCTACACTCAGCACATGCAACAGAAATGACTCAATGCAAATACCAGAGATATGGAAGATATTATTGCCACCAGTCACATCAGAGGATAATAAATAATGTTGAAATATATTCAATTCACATTATAATATTTTAACAAGTTACTTATTTTTACTATAAACAAATCTTATTTCCCACCTGTTTGTATTTTACTGATAACACTAATATTATTATTTCTGAATGTACTTTATCTTATATTACTGATTTTATTCAAATGTCAAAATGATTTCACTCATGTATATTAATGAAGGAAAAAAGTTGTGTAATTAGAGCCTTGATATGATTATGAGCTGCGGTAATAAACTGTGCTTGAACGGTGGTCATCAGTTAATATTACTGTATAACAACACTGTGTGATTTTATCAAAATAAAATTTTATCTATAATGGAGTTACTCTGAGAAGACTTTTGCTTGACTTCACGGTCTAGGCCTTCGTGTAGAAAACAACAAGTTGAGAGTCTCTTCAAGAGTGACATGGGGGGTGGTCGTTTGACGAAGAGAAAATTACTGGCATTAGTATGGCCAGCTAAAAAGAACTGGAGAGAGCTTGGAAATATGCTGCTGAAGCCTTATATTCCAATCTCTTCTGAAGTTTATTGAAAAATACAACTGTATTCTTGGACAACACAAGTATTGTATGGAGCTGTTATTTTACTCACTTAAGCGTAAACTCATTAGCCATACAGTACGAAAAATTCCAAAAGGCGGACAATTCAGGTGAACTATCTGGTGAACCAAAATGAACAGACACATCATAAGACTTGGAAACATTTATTTCCCGATACGAATTTAAAACAAGCAATAAAGGTTAATAAAGCTGCTTTATTAACCTTTATTGCTTGTTTTAAATTCGTATCGAGAAATAAATGTTTCCAAGTCTTGAAGAAGCGTCTCCCGGAAAGCACTATCAATGCACTAAATGATCTACTGAAATTGAGGTGTAGGATTGCTAAACACTCTGTGCGACGTGATTTTTTGAAGGAATGTATCCAGACTAATATTTATCATAGGACATCATAAGACGGTGCATACTGATATTTTTTAAGGCTGTGTGTGTTTGTCTATTTGCGGACGCTTACGAATGTTATTCGGTCATGGTGGATAACACTTTGGAAGTTTAGGCAATTGGCTGCTTGGGTGGTGCTGAACATGTACACACAAGACTAAATGAGAAGTCACATGGTAGTCTTATTTTTATTTACAAATAACAGGAAGTAGGTGAAATTTAATTGTGTCAGCAAACCAGGGTAATAAACCCTGGAGGTCCCAATTTTTGAATTTACATAGATTTTAGAATAGTTTTAAGGTAGGTCTTATTACCAACCCATATTATTTACAAGATCGGGAAATTTATTGCCTCCTAATTTGGAACTCTTCAGTGATACGAACACACAACAACATCAAGGATTGAACGCATTTCATTGATTCACTAAGCTGCAATCTGGTGGGCCATTAGTGGTCGAAATACTTCCAACGCAAACCACGGCCATCGATGAACATGAATTACAAATCTAGCGTAAATGTGAACTAAATCGGCCACGATATATATATATATGTCCGGTGGAAAAGACAGTGGCGCAGAGCTGTCACTCTAGAAATCAGAATTGACAGCCCTACTTGCTGTCCCGTTCTTCAAATCTACATCATGTACCCTACACATAGCTGGAGGAAGTTACTTATTCCTTTTGGTAGGTCAGATTGACCAGAAGAGATTAGATGTTGGATATCGAGTTATACGAATGTAATTTGTGAATTTGACCTTTGAATTTTTTTCATTTGAAAGCACTCAGTGTGATGTTTAATAACAAATGAAATCACTGATAAGAAGCGCACAGAACACACACTGCATGTCACCAAGTTAATAAACTAAAGCTTTGTGCGTCTGTAATTCAACCATAGAATGCTCACCACCTACGCATGTAGCTCAAGTTTGATTCCCGGTGTGGGGCTAGCAACCTAAGTCTGTAAACCAAACACACACCACTTCTACTGAAACGTTAATGCTCAAGCTTTAAGCCTTACTTTCTACTAGGAACACAGATGGATGGAAATATAATATTCATATGGCAGTAATTAAGAAAGGTTCTAGAAGATTTGGATCTTGCGGATGATTTATGTTTAATGTCACACCTTTCTAGAACACTTACAGGCAAGTCCAACAAACTAGCACAAGAGCCTGGCTAGCAGTGAAGACAGGACTGCAGGTGAACATAGAGAAGATACCCAACAGCAATCAGCATCAATCGGCATCAAAGGAAGAGATTTAACAGAGGTTACTCCCTGCCTTCACTTATCTAGGAAGCATCACTTCAACCACAGGCAGTCGGATCGGATGAACATATCAGAGACAGACTGTGTCTTGAAGGCAAGATACACGTTCATCAATCTGAAATCGGTTTCGAAGTCTTCCGCAATGACTCAATCAGCATAAAGAAGGAGATTCGGATTTTCAACGCCAATGATAAGTCAGGCGGTTCTTCTATGTTGGCCAGAAACTTGGCGTTCACATCCCTGAAAAGATTTCCAACATGTTGCAGACTTTTATCAACAGTTGCCTTCTCTCTATAATGAAGATCAAACGACTGACCAGAAAGAATTACAATCAAGAAACCCTGGCGATGAACAAACCAACAGGCGAGGGCTTATTTATCAATAGATATGTAGGAGGAGACCGTCAAATGAAATCACGCTCAACACGGGCCATTATTTAAGGAGGCACCCCAATGGGAAGCGACGAGTGGGTCGTTGGCGCGAGAGTAACCCGGAGGAGATCGTGTGGGTTGGAGGAGGAGATAAGAGATTATGGGGAATCGTGGACCCAGCTGAAAAGGACAACAGAAAATAGAACGAAGTGAAGATGTGTTGTTGAAGCCCCATGTTTCACTGGGAACTCAAGGGAATAACAATAATAGCAGCATCGTAATAGTTAAAAAAAAACACTGAATTTACCTGTACTTCTTGACAGCCACCAACACACTGATCATCATTTGGTCCATAACATGTATTCTTTTGTAACTGACACATCGGTGAACATTTTTGACATTGCATTGGTGGTAAAATATGATGATTTGACGACTTATTTTCAATATTCTGTGATTTACTACTGATTTCAGTAGTTTCAGTGATTTCACTCGATAAATTATCCGTATTACTTGTTGCTTCTAAGGTAGTTGTTAGTGTATTTGATTTGACATTTAACACTTCTTCTTGAGGGACTATTATTTCCGTATCATTTACTATTCCTTTTCCTAATGGAGTATAAAATCCAGGTACATCTTCACATTTTTGCACACATAATTGTCCTCCGGTGTATTCAACAGACCAATATTTACAATGAAAGCAGAATTGTATACCTGGACCCCAACAACCAGTATCTGACTGACAAACTTCATCACACATTGCACCACGTCCTCCTGTAGTATACAGTAGAATAAGATGTGAGGGAAAAATAAGACAGATGAATACTAATCTCCAGTCATTTATAGTACAATTCTGTAATATTTTATCATTGTGTATTTATTGAACATTAGGTGGGTCATGAAGGATTGTTAGTACCACAGAGATGGTTGGTTAGGATATCTCTGCGCTCTAGGTTCCTTCATTCTAGTTGGTTGTTTAAGGTTATTCTTGGGAAAAACGAGCTGCTACAGTCTAACTTTGTCGTTTTGCAGTCACAATGCAGTCTCTGACTGAAGCTCTGGGTGACACAGGATGGAATATTCCAGGGGAAATCAGTCCCGTCGAGGTTGCCAACAGGGACGAAAGCTAAACCCAAGAAGTCTGACTATTGCCTCCAACCGTTTAACTCCACTACTACTCTTGAGGGCACCACTATGTTGAGTCACCTAGATTAGTGACTAGGATAGAATTTAGTCTGCACCAACGTACCAGAGACTAGACATATGACACTAATAACTCCCTGATGATCGTCAAATATTCCGTCTAACTGAGGTACAATTATACTCAAGTCTTGAAAAAAGCAATCATTAATTATACGGTTCACATTGTGAAAATCACTTTAAATTATATGTATCCCGTTGAATAACTCGTTTCATAAAAAAATCAGGTAATTAGATTAGACTAGGTGCCTGTTAAACGAATATGAAATTGATTTTCTTGGCATATGCATTTGACGAATCTGTAGCAATGACTCTCTAAAAACGGAGGAATTAAACCTTCTAAATTTGGATACCCACCAAGATCCATTGACAAGAATATTAAATTAAAAGTTCAGAGAAACGAAGCATCGTTTGTACCAACTAAAAAAGAAACTTTACATGAACCTGGATTTCAATAGAAACCTAATGAGGTGACACACTTAAGAGGAGAATTTCATCCTCTTTGAGAGGTACATTCTTCGCAGAAACGCTAAGAATGGTATTCCACAGTCATTCACTGGTGTCCACAAGCTTGAAAGACGAGATCTTGCATCCGATCTTTTCTGTGTGGATATATATATCACTTTCTGTGAAGCCAGTCGTTCGACGTGTATCCTGTCTGAAACGGTTCAAGAATACTACTCTTCATGGTTGATGAGAGGTAGCAATGGCTCCATAAGGAGTATGGTAAATGAAAAGCTTGTGAACACTCGCTATTCTATCTCAACAAACTCTTTCTTTAAAGTAATCTACAGAGTAAAGAATAACCTGCCTTTCAAAGACAATACGTTTTCATCTCTTCTGCATTGGTATAGAGGAGCCACAGCTCTGCATAAAAAAGTCAGTGATTTATGTTAACTTGATTTCGTTTGACTTTTAACCTTTAATAAGTCTTGTATTATTTTCCACTTCTTACGTAATATCACATTTTATTTCATTTTTATGTGGATCCTGACTACAACTCATTTACTAAATTATTTACCTTATTATGTCACTCTGAAATACTGATTCAACTCCTTTTATGTATTCAGTATCATTAACCTGCTATATTTGTGACAACTCATCACTTTTGTTACTGCCCTGTCTGGGTGAAGAAAAAATTGTATATAAATGTGGTTATACAGCTAAAGTGGAAAATGATTTCCAGGAGTTGATTTGTAAGGATTGACATCAGTAAGAGAATCATTGAAAACCAGCTGGGAGTACTGGACAACTGTTTTATCAGCCTAGTTTGGGAATCATCGGTAGTACGTGCCCACACAATGGGTTCCGAAACCACAACCTTTCAGTCACAAGGCAAGCTCGTATACCATTCAGCAACTAAGACCCGGTTTAGTGGCCAGTCCATGAACTCTAACTTCTACCAATTCGTGATTTAGAGCGACTCGCACCACCAATGTCATCGGTGGGAAATGTATCCTCACACTAGTAAGTTCTAGGAAGAAGTCGTAACCAGTGAGGTCCATCCAGCCATTGAATCGGGTCTCACTGACTGAATGGTTTACGAGTTTGCTTTCTAACTGGAAGGTTGTGGGTTCGAACCCCATAGTGCGGGCGCGTACCGCCGATGATTTCCAAACTAGGCTGATGAAACAGCTGTCCAGTACTCCCAGCTGGTTTTCAATGGTTCTCTAACTGATGATATCAATCCGTGTTCAAACTCGAAATTGATTCCGCCGAAAGAGACTCTCGACTGAACTACTTGTTTTGTTCTATTCACTTAAGTAGATTAAAAGCCATGATATTATTTTGTTTGGTGGTTACTGTCAGTGGAAACCTTCAACTGCATCACCGCTAAGTGATAATGTTCCTACTGAGATTCGAACTTTTCATTGACCGTTTCAAACGGTAAAGCGTTTTCTAGTATGCAGTTGAGCGCCCGCTCTGGGATTTATAGAATGTCAGCAGAGACCAAATCAATGAACAGGAAATGTAAGTTAATCCAAACACTAGATTAATAGCCTTTCAGTATAGAACAAACATACTTTACTGACATCAAATCTGAAGTTATAAATGTGTGTCTTCCGTTGGAATCTAGTAACTAGTGTGATGTGTCTAGTTCTTTGTTTGGTACAGACTAAATTCTATGAATCAGTCACGTTTGCAATGTGGCCACTATTCTAGGTAGCTCACCATCACAGTACACATTGATTTGATGGTATTAGATGGTTGGAGGCAATCGACAGGAAGCCTTAGACCTAGGTTTCGTGTTGGCCGGCAGTCGTCAGCAAGGCGTATCTGCAACCTTGAAAGAAACTCATTTCTTTTCTGAGATTCAAACCTGTGTCACCCAGTGAGTACTGTAGTCAGAGACGTTAACACTGAACTGTTCGAGCTCGCGATTGACCTCCTTCCTGTAGGACTGTACTGGATACTTAGATTGACTGATAGATTTCAGTCTGCACCAAACAAAAGATTAGACACACCACACTAGTTATTACTGTCCAATCAAAGTATCCCATACAGTCCTACAGGAAGGAGGTCAGTCGCGAGCCCGAATAGATGGCTCAGTGGTAACGTCTCAGACTTCAGGCAGCACTGGGTGAGGCGGGTTCGAATCTCAGACGTGGGACATGAGTCCCTTCAAAGGTTGCAGGTACGCCTTGCTAAGTGGCTAGTGAGTGCCAACTAGCACGAAACCTAGGTGGTGTCGAAGGCTTCCTGCTGATTGCCTCCAACCACCTAATACCATCAAATGTGTGTCTACCGGACTTATGGCATCCAATGAAACTAAATTGTTCTTCGTTATTACCATTCCTTTGTCTCATATCCCTGTTTAATGTCTCTATTATGCATTTCTTCCACTTTCTTATCTTGCTTTGTGTGCTACATGGAGGGAGTGTGGTGACCTGAACTGCTGCACATCAATACAAAGTTCTATGTCGAAAACAGACAGATAGACATCGGACTAGACCGTGTTTCACCGGCTAATCAGAATAGAAAAGTGGGATATTTTAAAATCTTTATGCATTACAATTATACTCATTACTGATGTGACGCTTTATAGCAATTCAGGCAGACATTTGATACCTGAACAGCTGACATGCAACACGATCTTTCTGTATAAGTGCTAAAATTTCATCAGCGAAATAGTGAGTTATGGCTGATATAGCCTAACAAATAAGAGAGGCGGTCAGTACACTTAGAAACTTCCCTTAGACTAGCTGCAGGGTCATTTTAGATCTCACAGAGGCAAGACATATGCAAATATACTCAGCTTTTTGATCCCAAGATTCATAAGACCTCGCAGTTTGTCAGCGTCCTCAACTGAAAGATGTACAGTTACCTTTCTAAACGTCCGTGATTCAGTGGTACAGTGGTTGACAGTTATTTACGTGATCCAGGTTTGATTTCCAACCGACGTAGTACTAAGTCTCACCTGGTCCACTAGCGGCCAGTAAGATTGAAAAGGCAGGAAGGTTCGGCATAAAGCTTAGTGTTCCTGTTGGAAAACAAACACACGGTTCAACCACTGAGATCAGATCCAACAGCTCGATGAATTCCAGCTTCTTTCAGTTCGCAAAATATATAGCGAAACCACTATCAGATTTCATAGGCGGGTAATTTTATCTGACTTGGTGGACCACGCTGGTTACCACTTCTTACATATAAGTCCCTTATATGTAGCCAGCCCCTTGCCCTGTAACCGTTTGATCCTCGGCCCGAACCTCGGCGTTTGTGTGCTGCTGAAGAGTCTCAAATTTTAACGAAACAACTGTCCAGTACCAACACTTACAAAGAAATGAAACAAACAAAAAGCAACTTAAACAAAGCAACAACTACAGATTTAGTAGAATAAAATGGTACCATATTTTATTTCGTCGCCTTCTCTTCATCTGCTTACAGGGCAAAACATTATTAAACATATCTACAGAAACAATTTTAACATAATTACCGACAAACAGTTCATTTTAAACAGAAATCAATCGATCAATGTACACATACACTAATAGTACATATATATATATATATATATATATATGCAATATTGAACACAATTCCGAGCAATAATAATCATACAAAATGAAAACTTTTAAATATCTCGCATTAGGATGAAAAATAGCCAGTTAACAAGGCAAAGAAAGACTGATAACAGCTTCTTTCTGAACGCACAAATCAGGTTTTAGGCGCTTGATGGAAAAGGCTTCAGCAAACTTAAGGAGCATTGAACTCTTTTGCTTATTGATAATTTTGAATGACTTTTCCACGTCCACCTCATGACACGTGTCAAGAAGATGCCTGGAGATGGCACTGCCTAAAGCATTTGTTCCCTTTAGACGTAAGCTTTTTGGTACATGTTCAGAAAATCGAAGATATGCTCTTCTGTTTTTGCCCTGTAAGCAGCTGAAGAGAAGGCGACGAAATAAAATATGGTACCATTTTATTCTGCTAAATCTGTAGTTGTTGCTTTGTTTAAATTCATTAAGGGGAACAAATGTATGAAAAAGCAACTTACTGCAAAATTCAAAATGAGCATTTCCACCAACAAAAATAGCTGAATCTTTCAATGGTCTTCTTCTCTTGAGTGTTTTTCTATTAGGCAGTGAAATTTGAGCTGACCAGTTGTCAGTTGTTACATCATCAGATTTTGAAGATTTTTTAAATAATAATAATCGTCTATCCCCATTGTCATAGAAACTGATTTGTGGTGAAATCAATTCATCAGTCATTAGACTTGTCCAATCAATTGTATCGACATAGCATAGGCGAGGATTTCCAGTGATTAGTAAACTTGGATGACCAAGTTTACGTAATGATGTCATACCTAAAAATTCTAGATGATGATTTAGATTGATATTGATTGTTCGTGTCTTTTGAATATTTGGACTTACTGTTGAAGTAGAAAGGAAAGAAAGAGGAAAAGATGAAAGATTTTGATTACTTTTATGCATGAGTACAAGAATATCTCTAATAATTGTTCATAGCTACCATTGGAATCTAGGATGCACGTCTGATTCTATCCAGGAATCGTCAGCTTGATTTGATTGGTCTTCTTAGCTGAAGTTAAGGATTGGTCTGGCTCAAATGGTCTTAAACTAAATCCAACTAAATGTAATACTGTTGATTTCAGCTTGAGAAGTGAAAAAGACATGCATGGATTGATCCAATCTCATGATTGTTGTAATATTGATGGTACCATGATAGAGAGTAAGTCAAGTGTTTCTTATCTTGGCATTAGTTTCCCTTCAAACCTTTGCTGGTCGTCTCATATTCTTATAGTTTCTAAGAAAGTTTTCCGTCTGAATTATTACATAAAGAAGTTGAGGCACTCAGGTATAACCCAACCTCTTCTCATACAATTTATTAATTCATGTGTTTTGCCCATCATTCTTTATTGTTCTCCATTATTCTTCCCTGGGCTACTCAAGAAAGACCATATAATACTACGAAGAACATTGAAGGCTGTAAGTAGGGTCAGTGCTATCCCTTAGACTCAACTAACTGACACTGTTGCAAACAGGCATATGAATTCTTGTAAACACTCAGCTAAAGTTATCTTGTCTGATAGTGAACATCCTCTCTATTCACAATTGTTTCCTTGTATCTCTTCGGGTAAGACCAGAAGAAATTTCATAAACATTTATGCTCGTACTACAAAATATAGAAATTCGACCGTACCATATTTGGCAGGAGTATTGTGTGAAGAGACAAATATCAGAAAAGAACTTTTACAACTTTTAAATCATTAACTAAACTATAAAATGAAATGATGCATATTAATGCATGTGTTATTTGTTATATTATTTATTTATTATCTCACTATGACCTAGAAATGGTGTGATTTTGTTGGGGTTTTATTTTTTCCTATTAACTATCAATATTTTAACATTTTATGCATTTATATAATTATAAACAGAGCTAAACCATTGCAATATGTAAAAGAAACGCTGAAAATTCCATGCTGTAAATTGTTATTGTTGTGGAATAAAGTGATTATTATTATTATTTAAGAATCCTATCACTTAATGAGAAGAAGGTGAACTCAGCTGACGAGTCCTAGGCGGGACGAAATGAGCATCCTAGCCACAGGTAATTCGAAGTTAGTAATCATAGTAATATTGAGATTTCCGTTCAAGGAACACGTCACTAAAGTGGGGAAATATCAGTAGTAAGTCACAAGTATGAAATTATTACAAAAAAATTACAACACATAGCAATTCCTTAATCTCAACTTTATTTTTCTGAACTTTTCTCAAACGTATCCTTCAGAATTATTAAAGAGACTCTTTAAATTTGAAGAAATGCCTTCATTCTTTATGACTGTCAAAATGACTGTTACAACTCAGGATAAGCACCACCTAGTTTATTCCTGACCTTTACGACACAACAAAGCTACCAGAAGTGCGTAAAAATGGTTCGCTGCTTTGATCAGTGTTAAACACTTATAATTCCACATATCACGCAACAGAAAAATGGTTGGTGAAGCACCTGAAGGCTTTGTATAACGAATTGTTAAACGAAACATTTTGAATTTGTCCGAAGAGTAAGAGATTTAAGTGTGAATGACAAGTTCATGATATCTTTTGATGTATCCTCTTTGTTCACTAATGCACCGTTGACGCATAAACATTAGCGTTTCTGCATTCTTCATTATTATTACTATCATACCGTTGAGTTCTGAGTGGAACAAAGGGCTTCAACAACACAACTGCACTTTCCTCTATTTTCTGTTGTCCTATTCAGCTGGATCCACGATTCCCAATAATCTCCCATTTCCTCCTCCTCCTCACAGGACCTCCTCCGGGTCACTCTCGTGACGGCCCACTCGTCAATTCCCATTTGGATTCCATTCGAGTGATGGCCTACACTGAACGTGATGTCATTCGACGGTCTCCTCAACGCATGCCCGATCCATCTCCATTTTCTCCTACTTATTTGTTGAACAATAGTTTCTTGGTTGTCTTGTTCCCAGTCAGATTTTCTTGTTACTAATTCTTTCTGGCCGGTAGGCTGGCCATTGGATCTTCAGTATGAAACCAGTGAAGAAGGCAGCAGTTAATAAAAGTCCACAACAGGCTGTTAGAAATCCTTTTCTTGACATGCAGTGCAAGTTTCTGACCTGTATAGAAGGACTGACTTGACACAGGTGTTGAAAATCCGAATCTTGCTGTTTATGCTGGCTGAGTTAGTGCGGAAGATTTTTAACCTGGTTTCCGGTTGACGAAGGCGTATCTTGCCTTTCCGATTCTCTCATTCTGGCTGCCTGTGGTTGAATCTAAGCTTCCTAGATAAGTGAAGGAGGTTATCCTTGTCAAATCTCTCCCGTTGATGGTGATTGGTGCTGGTTGTTGTTGCTGTTTGCTGGTTATCTTCTTCACCACCTTCTTCTCTATGTTCACTTGAAATCCTGTCTTTGCTGCTTCTTCAACCAATTTGTTGCTTTTTGCCTGTAGGTCTACGAGTTTGTGTGACATAAGACATTCTTCATGAGGGGAATTATTTTAATATGTATGAAGAATGTTCATTTCTTATTCAAAAAGGAACTCTACAGATAAACTGGCTATAGGGTTCCCACTAGGTCCAGTCCTAGCTGACTTTTTTCCTCGCTAAGATAGAGAATGGATCTCTGAAAGGAGTAGTTAATGAGTTGGAATTTTACTGTCGATATAGATAGATGATACATTTCTGATGCTGAAAAACGCGGATGAATCAACGAAAATCCTTGACAAGGTCAGTGATGCGCATTCAGTAATAAACTTCACCATAGAGAAAGAAAGCAATGATAGTATCTCATTCCTAGACATCTTCCTGACCAGGAAAGGGGATGGTACAATAAGAAGTAGTGTGTATAGGAAACCTACAACGACAGATCAGCAGATTTGCTTTTTGAAGCTTTCCACCTTTGAAATATAAACGGAATTTGGTAAAGTGTCTGGTTCATATAGCCAGGATAATCTGCTCAAACGACTCTCTCAATGAGGAGCCTAATAGATTATCAGAGAATTACTTAGTAAAAATGGACATCCAGATAAGTTCATTGAGAAAAATATGAATTTAGCACCAAAACAAGCCAGCATGACAACAGCTCCAAAAAAGCCCTATTCACAAAACTGCAGTTCTTCGGTGACAACATCAGGAAAATTATAACACAGCGCCTGAAGAATGCAGTTAAAAGGCTTTCATTGCAGCAGAAGTACGCTGTCTCATAATTACCACCTCTGTTTTAAGTTCGATAAATAGGGATAAACTGCCGCACTTCACCTCCTCCATGTGTAGATACTAGTTTGACTGCAGCTGTGGCGCCAGCTACATTTAGTGTACAACTAGGTAAGTATTTCCGAACATCATCTCGCATGGTTAATGAGACAGGGGACAAACAAGATTCACTGGCAGCTCTGTGTTAGAGCACCTGGCAGAAAGTGAGTATAAAGTCGATGTTAATAAAGCATTTAAAGTTATTTATGGCATTCCAACTAATCTTAATTTTGCTTTACAACTTCGTCTTCAATATACAGCTGAAGTCATAGGAATCCACTTGAAGATGGCAAACCTGTGTGTTGAGAAAAAATTCATGCAGCCACTTTTCTTAACTTGTTCACCATTATATGAATTTAAAGACCTGACTTCATCGTCCTCCTTCTAGGCCTTCTAAAAACTAAAATTGTCCAAATCACTTTATTTTTCCTGAGTACATTATCTTTAATTACAAGTTATCATTATCCAAATTATTTTATTTTTTCTTTAATTACGTATTACTTAATCAACACTCGCTTATTCCTTAATTACTCTTCATTTTTCCAAAAGTATACATTATGCAATCCACTTGTTGTAACCACTTCTACCCTTTAATTGTTTGTATTAATTTCCTTCGTTAATTATCATCCGTTTGGCATGTTTATACTGACTAATTATTGTTAACAAACATATCAGTGCCACTTGATCGGTAGAATGTTATCTATTGAATTGAAAATACCATATATTTTACAGTAGATTCAGAGATGAGGATCTAATTGAAAAGGTAAATATTTCTTCGTCCACTTATTTTGCCAATTAATTTTGTCAATACATTTTAGTGGTTAAATTATAGAAGTAAATTGGTGGATGGTGACTATCAGTTGAATCCAGGACAAAATGAATTTCGTCCTATTTGGGACTAGTCGTCAGCTGGGTGTACCTGAATTCTCCAGTGAGTGATGATGTTCCCACAGAGGCTGGAACCCAGTACACATAGTTTCCAAAGTCAAAGCATTATCCTCTAGACCATCTGGGCTACAAGAGTCACCTCTTCTGAAACGGGTGTCGGTGTGTACACCGTCACTCACTGACTGGGGAGTGCAGGTACATCCAGCTGGTGACGAGTTCCAAATAGGACGTAATGCGCATCCTGGATTCCAATGCTAGACACCATCCACCAATTAACTTCTAGTTACATGACCAGGCATTGTCGAAGCATCTGCACAAAGAACTGACATGTTAACGTGAGGTCTAGTAGTTCGGTCCAATCAATCCACAGGAAAATCTGAAACTGAATTAAATAGTTAACCTATGGAAACTACTGGATACCTAGATGTTAGAAGATTATTTAATGACAACAGACACAGTTAACTGTCTCAGTGTATTTCTCAACGATTTTGGACTATCTTTTCATGATAACAGTATTCTTAGTCTTTTGAAGAAACTGCCAACGGTAGTCGGAAATGCAGTAACAGTAACCTCGATGCCTGTATCTTAAAACCTACCTGAATAGGGCCAGTCATCCTGGTGTGTGCGTACTGCTGAAGAGTCCCAAACTAGGAGAACGAAACAGATCTCCAGTATACTCAGGTGATTTTCCAATGATTCTCTAACCTATGTCAGCTCATGATGTAATCATGTATCCAATCAGCCAAATCCTTACAAACCAATACTTGAATAACATGCATAATTATCGAAGTGATTATATTATTCTTCTATGTTTTCTCAAGCTTTGAATCCAGTGCTCCTATATGGTCTAAAATCTTGGCGCATGGTCTACCAAAAGGATATCCAACAGACTACAGACTTTCATTACCAGATGCCTTCTTTCGGTATTGAAGATCAGATGGCTAGCAGGTCAGAAAGGATGAGCAATCAATAACTCTGCCGACGAACCAACTAAGAACCTCTTGCCAAACCAACACATATTTCCACAAGGAAATGGTGATGAATTGGACATTCACCAACGTGGCATTTGAATGGCATCACAAATCACACCTCTCAGTGGAACCAGAATGAGAAGTGACTGGTTTGGCGTGATTCCGAGAGTGACATGGAAGAAATGAATGTTTATAAGCAGTCATGAAGTCAGACGACAGGGATGACAGATGAGACAGTGGAACAGAGGTGTACTGCTGCGATCTTATGTTCTATTTAGAATACCAAGGACAAGTAATAATAATAATAACACTACAAAATAATAATACAATAGTATTCTACTTACCTCCACTAATTATTTTAACATTCGAAAGAAAAGTCAGATTAGTTAACCACGGGGCATGTGATCCAGCACTGATATAAAGTGAACCTGTAATATGCTCTAATTTGGATAAACCAATAACAAGATCTTTCCATTGTACACCTTCATCAGCTTGTGATAAATTATAAAATGGATCACTGAAAGAAAGGAAGGAGAAAACAGAGGGATTTTAAACTCTCTTCACATAGACAGACTAATAAAGGTGATATATAGTACTTACAGTTATGTTTAGCATGGAATGAAACATATTCATCAACGGATTTATGAATACAATCCTGTGTGGTTAAACAAAGGATAGACAAGACCTATTCTTAGCTGTGTTTTAGCACACTTTATAGATAATGAAATTAAACTCGATGTCAACAAGACATCTGAAGGTGTCTACCGTACTCTTAGTAATCTTAATTTTTTTCATCTAACGAGTTTGTCTTCTGCATGTATCTGAAGTTGTTGGAATCCACCTGAAGAAGGTTGACTTATACGTCCAGAAGACTATCGCTCAGACTTTCTCAGACCCTTATAAATGCGGTAAAAAGAGCATTCCCTGCTGCTCAATTACGCTGTATCTCTAAAACCACTCCTCTTCTGCGTTCGGGAATAAAAGACAAACTACCTAATTTTACCTCTTCCATGTGTATCTACCAATTTAACTGCTCCTGTGGGGCCAATTACATAGGCAGTACAATTAGGCGTGTTTCGCGTCGAAATTCCGAACATCACCCTGCCTGGTTAAGCAAAGGACAAACAAAATCTATTTGCAGCGCTATTCTGCCTCATCTTGTGGATACAGAACACAAGATTGATGTTAACGAGGAGGCTTTCAAAGTCATTTACCGCATACCAACTAATGTCAATTTTGCTTTAAGAGTTCGACTACTAAACATTGCTGAGGCTGGTTGTTGGGATCCATATTAACAAGCCTAATTTGTGCGTCGAAAAGAAGCTGGTTCAGACATTATCACTACCTTGGCCATCTAGGTTTGAATGATGCTGAATTTCTGTGGAATTTTCCTAATTTTATTTGATATTCTATTCGCTGTTATATCTTTGTTATTATTATAATTTAGGCATCTTTAATGAACTGTGAATTGATTACACTTTACAAATCGATATTATTTAAAAAACGCTAATATAGTTATTAACTACTAATTTAAAATATTCTGTGTATACAACCATATACGTATATAATTGTAGATCCTGCAAGAGGAATTTATCGAAAAGAATATTCTTTGCTAGATTATTTTGTGTTTTATTGTTTTAACTATCCCTAACTTTCGCATAAGTTTAACAAGAAATTTGAAGGTATCCTGGATTCCAATTCTAGTCGCAGTCCAACAAATAACTTCTGGTTACATGCCCAGATATCGTCGAAGCATCTGTAAAAGGAGCCCACATATGTCAGTTTGAGCATGACCGAGCACTTCGGTGGAATCAGTCGACGGGAAAATCTAAAATGGAATTATCGCGAAGATCGCTCAAGGGATATGATATAACACCATGTTTTTTAATCTCTGCTTACTGACTGATTGACTGACAGATTGACATGTAATTGTGCACCAAACTATGTGGATCATTTAAAGGTGTCATACCTCAGTGAAGAAACTTTATCCCACTTTTAAACTGAGGTCTTAGTTAACTTATTTTACTGATTAAATGTCATGCCTATTACCTTTCTTCTTCTTCTTGTTTCCTTTAATTCCTAGAGGTGAGTAGGGCTTCAGCCGTGCGTCTCCATTGTGTTCGGTTCTCTGCTAGAGTTTTCACTTGGCTCCAAGTCTGCCCACACGCTTTCATCTCCTCTTCACATGACCTCCTCCAAGTCACCCTTGCACTGACGACCAACTCGCCACTTCCCTTTCGGGTTCTACTCGAGCAATGGCTTGTCTAGTGATGTCACTTGATGGTTTCCTGAGAGTATGGCCAGCCAATCCATTTCCATTTCTTCCTGCCTATTTGTTTCACAATCGGTTCCTGCTGTGTTGGTTCGCTCCCAGAGATCTCTGTTGCTGATATTTTCTGATCGGCCATCTGATCTTGAGTATTGAGCGAAGACAGCTAGCTGTTGATGAAGGTCTGTAGTTTGTTTGAGATGCTCTTTATGACGCGCCAAGTCTTTGATCCGTATAGTAGCACTGACTTCACATTGCAGTTGAAAATCCGGATCTTATTTTTGATGCTTAGTGCTGTTGACCTCCACGCAGACTTGAGAGTAGTGAAAGCTTGTCTTGCTTTTCCGATTCTTGCTTTGATATCCTCGTCAGTTCCGCCGGCCTGTAGTTGAAACGATGCTTCCCAGGTTGGTAGGTAGGTAAAAGAAGTTGTTTCTTTCAGGTTCCTTCCATTTATGTTGATTGTTGTCCGTTGTTGTTGCTGTTGGTGTTGGCCAGGGATCTTCATCACCTCTGTTTTCTCTGCGTTCAGCTGAAGTCCTATCTTTGATGCTTCTTCTGCCATCTTGTCACTTTTCACTTGCATGTCTTCCAGTTTGTTGGAAATCAGACATATATCATCATCGGCGAAGTCCAAATCCTCCAAGTTTTTTGTGTCAGTCCATTTTATGCCTGTTTCCTCATTGCCCACTGTTTGTCGCATTATCCAGTCTACTGCAATCAGGAAAATCATTGGAGATAGTAGGCAACCAACTTGCCTTACTCCTGTCCTCACTTCGAAGGGTTCCGTAAGTTTCCCATTGTGGATTACTTGGCATGCAGCATTGTCTTACAGCTGTTGGATGAGATGTATAATTGTCGGTGGCACCCTGTAGTAGCGAAGTAGTTGCCAAATCACCTCTCGATCGACAGTGTCAAAGGCCTTTTCAAAGTCAATGAAGTTGAGACAGAGAGGTGACTGCCACTCCAAGCTTTGTTCAATGATGATCCGTAGTGTGGCGATCTGATCAATGCATGACTTGTTTCTCCTGAATCCAGCCTGTTCCGGTCGAAGTTTTTCATCCAGGGTGGTGTGTTTGATTCTCTCCTGGATGATGCGGCTTAGTATTTTGCTTGGGATGGACAGGAGCATAATTCCGCGCCAGTTCTTGCATTGACTTAAGTCTCCTTTCTTTGGTAGTTTGAATAAGTATCCTTTCTTCCAATCCTCGGGTACTTTGCCTTCTTTCCACACTTTCTCCAGTAGTGGTGTCATCAAGTTCGCTGTTGTCTCTGGGTTCATTTTCAATGCTTCTGCTGGGATTCCATCTGGTCCTGCTGCTTTTCCAGCTTAATGCTGTTGAATTCACTGACATACCACAGAAATCAAAACAGAACTATCATTCTGTCACATATTTCAGGCTGACATTGTCCAGGGTCATCCGATGAATACGTTCGGGTTTCATAGGGGTCTAAACTAATTTCTCTGTAGATTTCTTCACGTGCTTAAGATTTTAGAAGTAGGATACAACAGCCGTTCAGTGGTCATCAGTTTTCAACAGTCCAAGGGTCGAACTCAAAACCTTCAAGTTACAAGGTGAATCAGTTAGCCATTTAGCCAATTGGAATCCGTTGACTCATGAATTCTAACTTCTGTCATTTCATGATATACCGTAGTTTCGTGACAAAATTGATATTGTAATTAGTTGAAATTCATGAGCAACCCAAAATCTGAATAGTACTCTGTTATGTGTAACTATAGACTAGGCTGATATTCAGTTAGTCACATTTAAATTATTTAAATATTGATTTTTTGTGCGTTAACCAGATAACCAACCAATCAAATTTCACCACGTTGATAGCCGCTAACTAATCGACCCACCGTTGCAGTAGATAATTAGTTCTGTAACAGTATTTTTGTAGGGCTCATGTGATTTTTTATTCCTTCACGTTCCCAGTGGAACATAGGGCTTCAAACTAGAGGCTTGAAGTTTCAGTAGGAATGGTGTTTATTTTTACGGGATGATGTCGCTAGCCTCTTGCCCAACCTTCCCTCTTCATCATTATTATTACTGGCAAGGTGGGGTAAAGGAGTGTATCTGTTGGGGATCGAAACCCGGACTACAGTACCTGTTACTCTTGCTTTTGGAAATATGTACTTCCAGTATTAATATATACGTCTTGTTAAAATCACCAGTTTGGGTCAAGGGAAATCTTCTAAGAAATTATCAGAAGTACATTACTGTTAATCTCATTCGTGTTTTCAGTGATGGTGAAAACCTGGGATCCATAAAAGTGGAATTATTAATTGTCCAACAAAAGAAATTGACAGAGAAGCTTATTAGCACCGAAATCGGTTAAATTGTACCACTAAACGCACTATTTCAAACGATTGCACCCTATTTTAACGGAACTGCAAACGGTATTATGCAATTCAGCTATGCAGAGCAGCTAGAGAGCATATCCCACTATGGCTAAGTAAAGGTGTAGTTAAAGCTATTATCAGCTCGATATTAGACCATCTGGTGCAAACCGGTCACAAAGCCAGCGTAGAAGAATCCTTCTCTATAATATACCGGGTGCCTAACAAACTACCAAAACCGTTGAAGCACCGCATACTCCAAACAGCAGAGGCTATTGCAATTCCCCTCAAGCAACCAGTGCTCTGTGTCCAAAAGAAACAAGTCCATCCCCTACTACTGCCCTGGCCCTCAGTAGAGACTATAAACTCATGAATTTGTACTATTACCTTTCCTGATTCTCCTGACATTCAGTTTATTTTATGTTGATGCTGTTCAGCTGTAATCTATCAATATTATTGATTTGATGTTATTTAAACAGCAACATTAATGTTGTTCATAAGACTAATTCATTCACTATAATGTATATATAATTTTAGAACCTGATGATGAATTTATCGAAAAGAGTACTCTTTGTTCTTTGTCAATTCGTTTGAAAATTTTAATGGGCATTTTTAATCACTTATTTTAGAGTTGATTTTGCCTCACAGGACAGTGACAATGTAAGACTGTTGCTACTTAAGCTGAGTCCAGCGGAATATGAAAAAATACTGTAAATTTGATTCTTCCTCTAAAACTGCATGATAAGTGTTTTGATAATACAGTCAAGTCACTTAGCTAACAGTCTAGAAAATATTCCTAACTGTTCAACATACGATATTGCTGTCTTAAACTGATAATGAATGGAAATGATGATTTCCTAACTCATTTAGGTATGGCCAATGAGAAATTACAGAGATTTCGACTCAAGCCTTTAACTGAGGATCCATTAAAAGCCCTTATTCTTCAATAACCCAAGTTCACAGATATTAGAACATGACTGTTCATTTGACTGAATTTCGGGATCTGAAGTTAACCCTGGATGACACTGTAGATGAGCATCAACGGTTAGTTGATGTTAGATAGTTGGAGGCAATCGGCCACAGGAAGCCTTTCCTGACCTAGGTTTCGTGCTAGTTGGCACTCGTCAAGGTCCAAGGCTTCCTGTGTTCGATTGCCTCCAACTATCTAATATCATCAAATCAATGTGCACCGTGATGACGAGCTACCCAGTGGCATGGTGGCCACATTGCAAACCTGACTGATAGAATTCAGTTTGCACCAAACAAAGGACTAGACACGTTGCACTAGTTACTAGTGTCCGATCAAAATATCAACGGTTATTTAATTTGTAGCAAAGTCGAATCGAATCAACACCTTTAGAAAGTTCTCCTAATGATCAGTAGCTGCACGATGGATTTCGGGAAGTTCTATTAAAAAACACTGTCGGCTAGGGCTATCATGTCTGATATGAAACGGGTTCTCATCATTGTCAAAGGTAATCAGTTAACAGAAGTTGGAATACAGTAGTCACTCGATTTCATTTGGATCGCCTCATAATATGAAAGTTCAAGATTTAGTCCTAAGTGGTTTTGCGACTGCTCACTACTTTATGGATCCTAAACTGCAATGAAACAACTAACCAGTGATTTCTCGAAAATAGCAATACGCCGATGTTGAATGAATAGCTGTCATCAAAGTGCAGAAAATGGATTGGATTGGCCATACTCTGAGGAAACAAGCCATCAAGTGACATCACTAGACAAGCCATTGCTCGAGTGGAACCCGACCTAAAGGGAAGCGGCCAGTCGGTAGTCAGTGCAAGGGTGACTTGGAGGAGGTCATGTGAAGAGGAGATGAAAGCATGTGGGCAGACGTGGAGCCAGGTGAAGACTCTAGCAGAGAACCGAACGCAATGGAGACGCACGGCTGAATCCCTATGTTCCTCTAGAAATTAAAGTAAATGATAATATAATAAAGTGCAGAAAAGTAGAATTCCATCCATTTGTAATTATTTGTAATCTTCTCTTAATTTAAATTATGAACTGACATCCATTGGGGGGTACCCCTTAAAGCCAAAGTGTACAGAACATGTATTTCATCTTATTAGCGTACTACAAGCCGTCTCAGGACCAACAGTACATTAAATCTCTAAAGAAATTCCAGTGAATCATTTCAACGAACAGAGAATTTCATAACAATAACAATAAACAACATACCCAATAAATGATTGCATTGATAATTTAATATCACCTTCAAATAATGTACAATTCTCCATTGCACGTAGCGATTTACGCCTTAAATAATCAACACCTTTTATTGATTCGATTTCTTTCAATGTACAAACTGAAAATAAAGAATAAATGAATATTTCTGATCACCACTATTTACTTTTTCATGAAATATCATTCTTCTGAATACTGATAGGATTTACTATTACTAACTCTTTGACGTTTGAAGAGATATGTGGTTGGTTAGAGTCCATCTAGGAAAAACATCACTAATTGAGGGTGCAGTAACATGTAGCTGGTGAGTGTCAGATAGCACCAAGTGTGTGTGCCTTAGATTCCACGGCTAACGGCAACCAAAAACAAGTTACTTCAAGTTCCGGTTCCTGATTATATCGATGTATCAGTTTAATAAACTTATCTGGGGAAGTGAATCTTATCAACTCGGTCCACAAAAATTGGCAAGAAGTCACAAGTGTGAGTAAATAGTGAAATAAGTTGTTGATGGTGGTTGAAGATGGTGGATCCAAACTGTTGAAGTATATCAAACAAGCACATAATAACTGGGTAGGAAAGTTCCAAAATAATTTCTGGTCAAGGGTCAGATTAATAAAATTACAATTAGAAATTAAAATGACATAATAAACAGGAGGGGGGACGGATAAAACTCAAACAAAGTAGCATCATAATTACTGAGGTGATTGACATATTGTGCAATTAGGGATTAGAAATGTAGAAATAACAACAACAGACAGGATGTTCGGATAAAAAACCTAGTGAGATCATAACTAATGTGACGAATATTTGTTTATGCAATCAGGGATTAAATATGTAGAAATAATAAAATGACAAAATAGACAGGAAGTTCGGATATGAAAATATGGTAGTGTAAATAGGGATTAAGAAAAATTTTAAAATAACATGAATAAACAGGAAGTTTGGCTAAGAAAGTGAATGGGATAGTCACTATTCGAAGAATTACCTGTTTATGATGGCCACGGCAGGGACAATGATTGAACGTATTTGTTTTGAACATATAGCTTGGGTTTGAGCTTTTGGATGGCTAGTGCCTCGGCTATGCCCAGATGTCTTAATTTTATTCCCTTTGATAGGTTTGATCGAATCTTGTATATTATTTTGAATGATTTTCCGAATGGCACTGAATGTCCTGAATTGACCAGATGTTCTGTCACTGAACTATATTCACGTTTTCGTTCTCCTGGATAGTGTCCACGAGCGCGTTTTTCAAATTGGCGCATGGTACGGCCGATGTACTTACCTCTGCAAGAGCAAGTAAATTGGTATATCCAAGTTGAAGTGGCCCAATGCGACAGTTTGTCTTTCGCTTTCTGGTTGAACAGTTTCTTGCAGGAAAACGTTAGTCGTAGGCTCGCGGCGAAGTACGTCTTCTTCAGAGATTTACAAAGGCGTTTATGAAGGATTTCTGCTTCAGTGTCACCTTTGAATTCTAGATTAAGCAGAAGTATCTTCTTCGGGACGGATTGAACTTGTTCGGAAGTCTTCTTTGATTTGAGGTTCTTGTCTATGAACCTAGGCGGAAAACCGTTTTCCATCAGGGTTCTTTGAAGATTACTGATTTTTTTTTCATCAATCACCTCCTCGCTGCATATCTTCCGAATCCTTTCATATCCGAACTTCCTGTCTATTTTGTCATTTTATTATTTCTACATATTTAATCCCTAATTGCATAAACAATTATTCGTCACATTAGTTATGATCTCACTAGATTTTTTATCTAAACATCCTGTCTATTTTATTATTTCCAAATTTTTAATTATGATGCTACTTTTTCTGAGCTTTATCCGTCCCCCTGTTTATTATGTCATTTTAATTCCTAATTGTAATTTTATTAATCTGACCCTTGACCAGAAATTATTCTGGAACTTTCTTACCCAGTTATTATAAAAACACGAATGTACAGCCTAGTTGACGGTGACTTCGTCGAAAAGAAAATTTAATTTGCTGCAACTGTCTTTTTATTTCCTGTGATCAAATGTGTATATTCCGTGACATAATAACTGTCAAGTACTCTCTGCTTGCTTTTGATGGTCCTCCAACTACAGTACACTGTTAACAATGGGAAGTCCTCCACCGCTTCAATTTCTCTAGCTGATGTTCCTCAAGGAGCTGTTCTTTTTCATTTTCTGTTTTCTTTCTTCTTACATGACTTACTTGCCTCATTCTTAAGAAGTCAAATTTGTTAATTCTGCCGATGATCTAACTGTCTCTATACCTGTTAATTCTCAGCCTGATTGTTCCAAAATGAATAATTTTCTATCAGAAATAAGTTAATGGTCCGTGCCAAATGATCATATGTTAAATCCCTCCACATGTCAGGTCGTTAATGTTACTTTCAGACACAGTGGTGACTTACATGACTCTACTATCATAGATGGCACAGAAGTTGAAACTAAGTCACATGTGCAATATGAATATGGATTGTCTTTCTTATCATCTTTCCTGGTCTTCTACATCAGGTTAGTTTCTAGAAAGATGTTGCTTCATTTAACGTTCTACATAAGAAAGTTAAGACAGTCTGACATTACTCAGTCTCCACTTCCTAAGTTGGTAATTCTTGCATTCTGCCTATCCTTATTAACTTCTCTGCCCTAATATTTCCGCGGTTACTTAAGAAAGACACTGTTACAATGTGAAGGGCACTAAAAGCTGTCAGTAGGGCAATTGGGGTGTTGCTAAAGCAACTTGTCAATACTGTTGTAGATAAACACATAGACTCCTGCAAAAAAAATTAGCAAATATTCAAATATTGATTTTTTTAGAGATTTTGTTTGATTGGTTACAGGATTTCATTATGAACCACTGGAAAACCTGGGAGTACTGGACAGATATTTCAGCCCCTCTCCAAGTTTGGGTTCCTTCATCAATGTGCATCCACCTGGCTGGTCATAAATTGGCAGAAGTTAGAATTCATGGACTTGCCATCGGATCGGGTGCCAGTGAGTGGTTTAATGGTCTACCAGCCAGCTAGCTAGCCTTGTAACCAAAAGGTCCTGGGTTCGAACCCTGTTGGCGGTTGGGTGGGTACTGATGAAGAGTCCCAAACTAGGCTTGTGAAACAGCTTTCCATTACTCCCAGGTGGTTTTCCAATGGTTCTCTAACTGATATCAGCTCATGATGAAATCCTCCAACCAAATTGGCAAATATTATCTTGTCTTACCCTGAGCATCCCCTGTCTATACACAAATATTTTCCTTGCATTTCATCAGATAGAACTAGAAGCAATTATAGAAGACCATAGTGGGTAAATTTTATTTTGATAGAGTCTCACAGTGTTATACAGTAATATTTACTGATGACGTCTCGAGCACAATTTATTGCTCATAATCATATCAAGGTAATCACACGACTTCCTAAATTCATTTATATAGTTCCATTATTTTTCACTTGATTTCCACTTGATTTGATTGGTAGTGTTATTTTCCATATTTCGGGTATTAGTGATGATTCATTCCTATTGCACGTGTTGGGTGTAGATTCGATGAACAAAGATTCAGCAATCAACCTCTCTCTCCACCTACCTAGATTACTTTTTAGAATTTTAACCCTCTCCCACCCTATTGTGTGGTTGTGTGTTAATGCATGCATTGCAATTGCCGAGCTTTTTTCTAAATTACTTATCTTTTCTGGGTCAACCATTCTTATCTTAGCTAAATTCTTATGTTCTGACAATCTGACTATTCCTGACCTACTAGTTTGACCTATGTAGTTGACCGCACAGTCATTGCAGGGTATTTTGTAAATTATATTATTTTGTCTAATTGGGTCCACTGGGTCCTTTAACCTACAGAGCTTGTCCCTGAGTGAGTTTGTAGGTTTAAATGCCACCCTAATTCCTGCTTTATTTAGAATCCTACGTAGGGTCTCAGATGTCCCCTCTTTATATGGTATAACTGTCGATGACTTATATTCTCTCTTATTTATGTTATCATTACTAGTTCCACAATTATTTTCATTTTTTTTTATTTTGTTTCTGGCCTTTAGTTATCTTCCTAATGAATTTTAAAGGATAATTATTCAACACCAACGCTTCTTCTATCTGTTTTATCTCGTCGTTTAGGTCTTTTTTTGTGCTACTTAGTGCTATGGCTCGGTTTGTTAGACACTTAACTAAGCCTGCCTTAACAGTTAACGGATGCGACGAATTAAAATCTAAATATCTATTAGAATGCGTTGGTTTTCTATACACACTAGTGTGAAGTTTACCTTCTTCTATTCGTTTTATTTTACAATCTAGCATAGCCAACTCTCCTTGTTCATCTTCCGATTCAAATGTGAATTTTATCCCCTCTACTAGTGAGTTAATATGTGTCAAGAAGCTAGAGATATGTTCTGTTTTTAACACTGTGAAAGTGTCATCCACATATCTCCACCATATTTTTGGAGTAGGATTAAACGTATTAAGTGCCATATTTTCCCAGCTATCCATAAATATATCTGCTACGATAGGGGATATTGGTGATCCCATTGCTACACCTTCAGTTTGTCTATATATTTTGCCTTGGAATCTAAAGATAGTAGATGTGAGGCATAGCTGAACCCCTAAAATAATTTCTTCAATGGACAGCTTTGTCCTATGATTGAGTTCAGTATCCGCAGTTAGTTCTTTTTTAACTGCTTCTAAGGCTGCTATATTGATTGGTATATTAGTATAAAGACTAGTTATATCAAAACTAACCATTGTTTCATCATTATCTAGTGGTATGTCATTTAGTTTATTTTTCATTTCATATGAATTAGTTAGTCTAGAATTTGAACGATTTCTAATGGGACATAATATTAGAGCTAAATGTTTTGATAATTCATATGTAGGGGTATTTCTAAAATCTACTATTGGTCTTATGGGATAACCTGGCTTATGTATTTTAATAGTACCATACATCCTACTAGCATTATTAGTTTTAGGCATTAAATTAAACCATTTTGACTCACCCAGTGACGGCTTCATTCTGCGTACTAATTCCGCTGTGGATTTTTTAACCTTATTCATTATTGTGTCTACGGGCTTCTTAATTTCCTCATATGGACCCATTTCAATATGAAATGGGTCCATATGAGGAAAGTAGAGCAATTGGGTTGTTGCTAAACTAACTTATCAATATTGTTGTAGATAGACACATAGACTCCTGCAAAAAAATTAGCAAATATTCAAGTATTGATTTTTTCAGAGATTTTGTTTGATTGGTAACAGGATTTCATTATGAACCACTGGAAAACCTGGGAGTACTGGACAGATATTTCAGCCCCTCTCCAAGTTTGGGTTCCTTCATCAATGTGCATCCACCGGGGTGGTCATAAATTGGCAGAAGTTAGAATTGATGGACTGGCCATCGGATCGGGTCCCAGTAAGTGGCTTAATGGTCTACCAGCTAGCTAGCCAGCCTTGTAATCAGAAGGTTCTGGGTTCGAACCCTGAAGGTGGTTGGGTGGGTACTGATGAAGAGTCCCAAACTAGGCTTGTGAAACAGCTTTCCATTACTCCCAGGTGGTTTTCCAATGGTTCTCTAACTGATATCAGCTCATGATGAAATCCTCCAACCAAATTGGCAAATATTATCTTGTCTTACCCTGAGCATCCCCTCTCTATACACAAACTCTTTCCTTGCATTTCATCAGATAGAACTAGAAGCAATTATAGAAGACTATATGCTCTGACGACTAAGTACAAAAACAAACTTTAATATACCTTATTTAGCTGGGACACATTTTATGTGGTGAGAAAAGTATAAGGCAAGTCACTAATAACTTACGGTGAAACACTAAGTAAATGGCGCTTTCTATTCTTTCTTTCTTCTTCCTTTCTTTGATCTATCTGATTTTATGTTCATATTCTTATTTAATAATATTATCATCAAAGTATATGCTCTGTTTTAATTATTACCGTCGTATTGTATAATGAGAAAATCAGATGCAATATTGCAAAATTCCATGTGTGTATCAAAAGTACTGTTTGGAATAAAGCTACTATTATTATTATTACTAACTGAAATGTGGAATGTAAATAGGAAGCGACTATAATTTGTAGAATTTGAAGAGTTTAAATCTTCATAAGCACCGATTTTTAAAATATTTGAAGTGACAGACTGGATGATTTTATCATGTGCTGACATCAGTTAGAGAACCATTACAAAACCACCTGGGAGTGCTGGGCAGACATCTGTTTCGTCAACCTAGTTTGGGACTCTTCATCAGTACTCACCCAACCACCTCCACGGTTCGAACCCAGGACCTTCTGGTTACAAGGCTGGCTAGCTAGCTGGTAGACCACTAAGCCACTGGGACCCGATCCAGTGGACAGTGTATGAATTTTAACTTCTGCCAATTCATGATATAGCGCGACCACTTCGTAATGTCTCGTTCGATGAGTTACTGCCTCACTTTCAACCTGCTGTTTCCTACTAGTCATGACTTCTCACTAGAACCGCAGGTAACTACCTACCTGACTAGGGTCAGTCGTTATTGAGCATCAGATTAATTTTCAAGTATTGGTTTTGTAGGGATTTTGTTTGATTGATTGGTTGGAGGACTTCATCTTGAGTTGACATCAGTTAGAGAACCACTGGAAAATCTGGGAGTACTAGATAGCTGTTTCGTCGGTCTAGTCTTGGACTCTTCATCAGTAAGCACCTGTCGGGGTTCGAAGAACCACAAACTAGGACGAAACAGTCGTCCAGTACTCTCTCTGGTAGTTTTCCAATGGTTCTCTAACTGATGTCAACTAATGATGAAATCTTCCAACCAATCAAACAAAAGTTCCTACAAACCAATACTTGAAAATTTCGAGTGATTCTTTTGCATTCCAAGCACAACAAAAGGCCCCAATCTTTGGAGGTTCAGTTAATCAAGATAATAGTCTCTCACGCTAAACTTTCACTGTTTTGCAAGTTTACTATTGGCTAGACGAAGTTTAGTAGTTCGTCGACAGGGGACCATACCTGGAACTCTTGCATTCATAATTATTGAGCATTCTACGATTAAATCAATGACTGGTAAGCAAGCGAAATGTTTAATTGTACGCTAGTAACTAGTGTGACGTGTCTAGTCCTGTCCGCGGTGCAGACTGAATTCTATCAGTCAGGTTTGCAATGTGGCCACCATGCCACTAGGTGGCTAGCTCACTATCCCACTGCACATTGATTTGATGATATTAGATAGTTGGAGGCTATCGGTAGGAAGCCTTGGACCTAAGTTTCATGCACTGGGTGATGCGGGTTCGAATCTTAGAAGGGACATGAGTTCTTTGCTGATGAGTGCCAACTAGCACAAATCCTAGGTCAAGCAAGGCTTCCTGTGGCCAATAGCCTACAACTATCTAATACCATCAAGCGAAATGTTTATTTAAACACTTTTTATAAGTCTTTAATGAAATGTAATATGAACACTTACTCTTAGGACAAATAGAATTTGGACATGGAAGACATTCACCATGATATGCAAAATAACCTGGACGTGCACATTTTGTGACACAATGATCACCATCACGTAAATAAGCTTCTAAATAGATAAAACAAAATGTCAATCGTTAGAAAATTTATGAAAATAACCTGTGATGATTTCAACATGCATGAAGTAAATAAGTATGTATATATGTGAGTATTGATTTCAATCAGAGATCATTGAAAATCTGGAAGAACTGGATAGCCACTTCTTCCTAATTTGAGACTCTTCAGCAATGTATGTCTAAGATCTCACCAGGAATTGAACCCGAAGTCTCCAGGTTACGAGGCTGGAATTCAATGACCTTTGATTTTTAACATTCAACCATTGCCTCGGATCAGAGACTTGGCGCGTCATAAAGAGCATCTCAAACAAACTACAAACCTTCATTAACAGTTGTCTTCGCTCAATACTCAAGATCAGGTGGTTGGCCAGAAAAGATCAGCAACAGGGATCTCTGCGAGCGAACCAATACATCAGGAACCGATTGTGAAACAAATAGGCAGGAAGAAATGGAGATGGATTCGCTGGCCATACTCTGAGGAAACCATCAAGTGACATCACTAGACAAGCCATCGCTCGAGTGGAACTCGGCCGAAAGGGAAGCGGCGAGTTGGTCGTCAGTGTATGGGTGGGGTGACTTGGAGGAGGTCATGTGAAGAGGAGATGAAAGCGTGTAGGCAGACTTGGAACCAGGTGAAGACTCTAGCAGTGAACCGAACTCAATGGAGACGCACGGGTAAAGCCCTATGTTCCTCTAGGAATGAAAGGAAACAATAATAATAATAGTGCCTCCGATGAGCGTCCACTTACCCTTGACATTTCATACGTTCCGAGTGGGAAAGAGGGCTTTGAACTTTGAAGTTCTAGTGGAGGTTGCCAGCGTCACGTCCAACCTTCTATCTTTTCTGTGCTTACTGCTAACTAGCAAACTTGAGGGAGGTTGTTTATGAGTGTGTGGCTGGTAAACACTTTACCACTGAACCACTAAAGCACAGTATATATATATATACACGAGGTTGTAATGTTGTGTTGCTCTGTTAGAGAACACATCATTGATAACTAATCTTCTAAGCATTTTTATCGATAAGCTCCTATCGATGTTGTGTCCTACTCTAAAAGAACTTGTAACTATTAGGTTGTATGACATCCCTAACAAAAATATTGAATACAGAAGCAATAGATTAGGTTGAAAATTATGAGCAAATAGAAAAGACTTCGATATGAAGAAGACAAAGAAGAACTCACATATACTTGTGCGAATTGAAGTTTCACTGTATTATTATTATTGTTCCCTATTATGTTCCCTAGTGGAACATAGGGCTTCAACTGCACGCCTCCACTTGCTTCTGTCTTGTGCTGTACTTTTCACCTGCATCCATGTTAGTCCATACTGTTTCACCTCTTCTTCACACGATCTCCTCCATGTCACACTTGGACGTCACACTCACCGCTTCCCTTTCGGGTTCCACTCGAGCGATGGCCTGACGCGCGATGTCACCCAGCGGAGCCCTCCTCAGCGAGTGTCCAATCCATCTCCACTTTCTCCTGCATATTTGTGGGTCGATTGGTTCTTGTTTTGTTTGTTCTCATAGTTTCTTGTTGGTGATTCTTTCCGGCCGGCCATCTGATCTTCAGTAGTATAGAGCGAAGACAGTTGTTGATAAAGGTCTGTAACAGGCTGTTGGATATATTCTTTATGACCCACCAAGTTTCTGATCCGTATAGAAGAACTGACTGACTTGACGTTTGTGTTGAAAATCCGAATTTTGTTGTTGATGCTGAGTGACGAAGATTTCCAGATTGGTTTCAGGTTGATGAATGTGTTTCTCGCCTTCCCGATTCTCGATTCACTGTAAAGATGTTTAACTATTAGATTATGTAATTTCACTATCAGAAACCTATGTACCTTGTCACACTACAAACGTGAACTCGGGAATGTAACAAATGGTCTTATAGAAACTAGTTCAAGGTAGAATTCGCCCCCCTCCACCAACACACACATACCAACAAGACATGATGGTTGTTAATTATTCTCGGGTATTCAACATCCGCAACTATGAACTTTACAATCATCCTTGCAAAATAGCATAGATTTGTTATAAGCATAAAACTTGGTCACTCCACAGTGGTAGAGTATAACTCCATTATGCATAAAATTTTTATTTCGATAAAATAACACAGTGGTTTTATATAGTCATATTTACTGATGACCACCGTTCGAGCACAATTTATCATTGCTGCTCATAATCATATATAGACACTGCTCACACAACTTTCTTGCTTCATTTATATACATGAGTGGAATTGATGATTAGACATTTGAATAAAATCAGTTATATAAGATAAAGTACGTTCAGAAATAATATTAGTGTTATCCATAAAATACAATCAGATGGGAAATAAGATGTTTTTATATTAAAATAAATAAATAACTTGTTAGAATGTTATAGTGTGGAATTGCACTTTAACATTACTTATTATTCTCCTCTGATTCGACTGGCATTAATAATATCTTCCATATTTCTGGTATTTTCATTGAGTAATTCCTATTGCATGTTTTGGGTGTAGACTCGATGAATCAGGATTCAGTAATCAATCCCTCTCTGTCTCCATCTACCCATATAACCTTTTAGAATTTTGACTCTGTCCCACCGGCTCTATTGTGGCTGTGTGTGTTAATGCGTGCAGTGCTATTGGTGAGTTTTGTGCAAAATACCTTGCAATGACTGTGAATTAAGTCAACTACATAGGTCAAACTAGTAGATCAGGAGTAGTGAGATTATCAGAACATAAGAATTTAGCTAAGTGTAGAATGATTGATCCCACCGGTGAAGATAAGTAATTTAGAAAACAGCTAAGCAATTGCACTGCATGCATGCATTAACACACAACCACACAATAGGGTGGGTGGGAAAGAGTCAAAATTCGAAAAGGTTATATAGGTAGGGGGAGAGAGAGAGTGACTGGTTACTGAATCCTAGTTCATCGAGTAATCTACACCCAACACGCGTGCAATAGGAATGACTCATCACTCATAACGGAAATATGGAAAATACTACTACCAATCAAGTCAAGGGATGAAAAATAATGGAATTATATAAACGAAGTTAGAAAGTTGTGTGATTAGTGCCTTTATATGCTTATGTACAGCAATAAACTGTGCTCGAAATGTGGTCATCAGTAAATATTACTGTACACTCCTGTGTGATTTTATCAAAATAAAATTTTATCGATAATGGAGTTATACTCTACCACTGTGGAGTGCTCAAGTTTGATCCTTATATCAATAAGCTAGATTGTTGTTCATTCGCTGAAGTTTAGGTAGGTGCTTCCAACTGATGAGTCCAAATAGGATGAAGTGCATCTCATAAGTTCCCTTTTTTTGCAAACGAATGACACTAAAGATACTAGTCGTAAGTTTGTCTAATGGTAAAATTGATGGCATGTTTTTAGGCAAGCATTTTATGATTCCCCACTGTGTGCTATGACTCCTTTGAATAATTTACTCACTTGGACAGGATTTTACACAGATTGACCCTAATGTTAACAGTCCATCGGGATTTTCTTTCCAAGTATATGTTGACTTATTATATACTTTAGATGCTGGACATGAATTTGTACAAATACCACGATTTGATTGACGTAAGCATGCCTGAAATAAATAAATCAATAAATACATAAATAAATGCTCAAAATTAATTGGAAGAAGTATGCTGATAAACATTAGGGCGAAATAAGCATTGCTAGAGTTAAAACATAATCCTCTGAAAATGACTGCAACTGAAGGAACTTCGTAATCGAAATAAGTCAGGAGAAAAGTTGTTGCTACTTGGTTTAAAAAACTAGTAGTGGAGCCAAGGATAGGTGTTTCGTTTTTCTTTGGGACTCATCACTGAATGTACCTGCATTCCAAACACTATAGCAATTTCCGTTCGGCCACTAGGGTCAACGGAACCACATTTCCCATTGATTGACACTGATGATATTAGATAGTTGGAGGCACTCGGTAGGAAGCACAGCCTGACCTAGATGTCATGCTTGCAGGTAAACGTCATCAAAGCATATCCTCAACTGATGTATCTCTAGGGACAGGAGTTCGTGTCACCCAGCACTGAAAAGTGAGATGTTACCATTGAGCTGTCCGGGCTCAAAATAAGCCTCCAATAGGACTTCAGAAGAAAAGAGGGTGAGTTACAAACACATTTCTAGAGATGTTAATTATTATTGCTATTCCCTCAGTGAAACATTCCGCTTCAACATAACATCGCCACTTTGCTTTATTTTCTGTTGTCCTCTCTAGTTGATCCCAAGGTTGCCCATAATCTTTCATCTCTTCCTCACATGGTCTTCAGCACGCCACCCTCACAACGACGACCCACTCACCGTTTTCCATTCGGATTCCAATCGAACGATAACCTGGATTAAGTGCAGTGTCATTCAACGGTCTCCTCAGAGTGCGTCCAACACAGCTCCAATTTCTTCAGAATATTTCCTGGACAATGGATTCCTGATTGGTCTGTTCCCATAGTTTCTCGTGGCTAATTCTTTAGGGCACACCAGTCATTTGATCTTCAATATGGAGCCAACGAAGAGAGCGGCTGTTGAAAAACGTGTGCTAGTGTCTCTTTGAAATGTTATTCGTGACGGCGTCACCGACTTTCTGACCCATATAGAAGAACGGACTCACTGACTTGACTTTGGTGTTGAAAATTCGAGTCTCGTTCTTTACGCCGGCTGAGTGCGACGGATTTCCAAAGCGATGTCAGATTGATCAAGGTGTATCTTGCCTTTCCAATACCAGTTAGTTTTGACATCTTCATTCGTCCCGTTTGTAGTCGAAATGAGGTTGTATAGATGAGTGAAGGGAGTGACCTCTTTCAAGTTTCTCTCGTTGATAGTGATTAGTGTTGTTTGTTGTTACTGTTGGCTAGTTGGTTGGTTGGTTATTTTCATCACCTCCGTCTTCTCTGTACTCACTTGAATTTCTGTCTTTGCTGCTTCTTTAGTCAGTATGTTGGTTTTCGCCTGTAATTCTTCAAGTTTGAGTGACATTAAACACAACTTATCCTCGAAATCCAGACCTTCTACAGTCTTCTGATCATTTCAAAGTATTCTTTCTAGAGATTCAAAAATGGAAAAATTATAGTGATCGACAAAAGTCTCTTAGCTCGATTTTCATGCATTTTGTCTCTGGTTGTCAAAGGGTAGCTTCAGACATTACAGTCAATTAGACTCCTTGACGAGAATTAGCCGTTTAGCGTGTTATCCTGTATAGTTTAGTGCAGTGGTAAATATCGGTCTACTATTGTCATTTACGAATGGCTACCGAATACCTTATCACCAGATATTCAGTGCCATCAACTAGAGATCCATTGAAAACCAGGAACTACTGGATAGCTGTTTCGTCCTTGTATGAGACTTTTCTACTGAGTGCATCTAAAACCATCATGTTACCAGGTGAGCCCGTTGACTATTTATCATTTTCATACTTTTAATAATTTGTTAGATAAATCCTAAGAGCTGAACAAACTGCTTTATATCATAAACTGGGTGGGAATTGTGGTAGTGTAGGAACAAAGATTTTGCAAGTTATGTCCTATCAAAATATTATAAGCGATATCGAAACAATAGAGAGAATGTACTTTGCGTGTTATTGTGTCCTTTGTGCCAAATGGTTGTCTTTATTCAGAAACCTTCATTTCCCTTCCAGACAAAGTCTTCAGTGTCAAGTTAGCTCAGTGGATGATAACAAAATAAATTACACAGTAGGTTGTTGTAGTTAGATCTAGATAGTACCATCTAATAACACTTTGATATACGATTTATTTTGAGGGGAATTAGACATACCACAAGAACTTAATGGCATGCCCTCAGACTTTGACAATGGGAGAATATGCTTAGAACCAAGATGCAGAAAAGGTTTCCCACTATGTATTTTCCTACCCTGAATTTTGACTCTATCTATATTCTTTTCTACTTTTGTGCATCGACAATATAGTTCTAGAATGCTCGCCAACCAGGCACACGTCATCTGGGGATCGACCCTCTGCATGCCGACGTGAGCCTGAAGCCCCATGTGCAACTCGGAATGCCGAGGAATTATATGATAAATAAATAAATAATATTCTTCACTAGAGCCTTTTTTGACCCCTGTTCAACTAAATTGCTTGACCTTCAAGTTGATATCACACCTGTATTAAATTCGTTAAATTCATATCATTCTGGAATTTTTCTTAATCATGTCTATACACACTAACGAGCCTAACAACAGCACCTTTATTTCTTCCCATTTAGTGTTAGTTTTTAGGGGGGAATTCCATTTGTTTCAAGTTGGACTGCGGACTGATGTCATTTAGAGGATGACTGAAAATAAGCAGGAAGTCCTGAACAGAGGAGATTTTTCGTCCTTGTTTGCAACTCTTCACCAGTGCGTATTCATGACCAGGACCTTCAGGTAACGAGGCTAGCTCGCTGACCAAGCTAGGACGAAACATCTGTTCAGAACTCCATGATGTACAGTGACTCACCAACTGATGTCAATCCTTGATTTGATTTGAAATAAATGAAATCCTGACAAACTAACCTTTGAAAATTAATCGGATGCTCACTAGTGGCTTCCTACTGGACAAAGTTACCTGATATTTCAGTGGGAGGGTCATGACAGGTGGGTTCCACCAGGTCGGATATTAGGATAAGTATTCTCCAATGACATTGGCTGGCGGTCATGCTAATAATCGCTAACTGACAGAAGTTGGAGTTGACTGCATTGCTACCCAGTGGATAAGTGGTTAACAAGCTTAGCTTTGGAACCATGAAGGTATTGAGTTTGATTCCTAGTAAGTCGGCTGAAGGGCGTGCACTCATGAAGAGTGTCAAACTATGACGAAATAGCTTCCTAGTACTCCCAGCTTGTTTTCTTTGATTTTCTAAATGATATCAGTCCATGACCACACTTAAGGAGAATTCTATCCGACAACTTAAAATGGTGCCGATTGTTGCACTTTATTGATTTGAATGAGTTGATTTTGAGTAAATTAAAAATTTAAAAAAAACATTCACATACATTGCAGTCTTGAGCTCTTGGACCATTACAACCAGCAGCACATTCAGAATGACAGCATTGTTCTCTTGCATAACCATAATTTGTACCTGAATGAATTCGACGTGAATGATGAGTTGAAGTTTCTTTGTTATATGCATAAGATCTTGCACGAAAACACCAATTTGATCCTTCACATAGATGAACTTGACATTTATGAACTAAAAGAGAAAACATGAAAAAAACGAATGAAGAATCAATAAATATCTTTTTTTGACTGTGTGTGTGTGTTCAAATGTTTTAAATACAGGCTTACACCACATATTGTTGTGTAATATTATTCATTCCCTGAGTTTGATGTGGAACTTGGAGCCCAGGAAACGCATATGTATATTCGACTCGGCTTTCTGCAATCACTGTCAGCTGGCTCTACAAATGCCTACAGTATATTACTTCCTACAGACTGAGACTACCTTGACGGTGTAGTCTCGCTTGCATAGTGTAGTGACTCACTGAGCTACACTGGGTGGAGTTGATATTCCTGCTTGTTACACTATGCTTTAAAGATAGTTTAGATAGCGGTTTGACTAAAAGCAATCACCATCACAGTATAAGTTATTGACACTATCTTGAGGGCTTACAAGCGAAGTAGTTCTGCGCCGAGTGTTACTGACTAGCTTTATCAGTATTATGTAGAGGGAAGTTCAATAACCCAAAAATATAGAATGGCGGATAGATAGATTTGACATCAACGAGAGAAAACGGACCAGCATTGCGTTGGCAAAACATGGAAGACTCGAAAAGAAGACAAAGAAACACAATACGAAGGGCAGAAGTAGTATAATAGGGAAGATCTGTGCAAATGATGGTTTTCACATGAGATGCACATAGAGAAGACGGAGGTGATGAAAATGACCAACCAAACAACAGAAACAACAGACACTACCAGTCACTATCAACGGGAGAAACTTGAAAGGGGTCTTTCCCTTCACTCATCTGTACAGCATCATTTCCACTACGGGTGAGACGGATGAAGGTGTCAAAACTAGTGGGCATCGAAAGGGCGAGACATACCTTCATCGATCCGTTGCACTCAGCCGGAGTACGGAACGAAACTCGGATTTTCAACACCGATGTCAATTCAGTGAGTCACTTCTTCTATATGGGTCAGAAAGTGGGTGACACCGTCATGAACAGCCTTTCAAACAGACTATTGCACACGTTTATGAACTATTGCTCATATGAGCAATAGTTTGTGCTCAAAACGTGGTCATCAGTTAATATCACCGTACAACACTGTGTGATTTATCAAAATAAAATCTTATCCATAATTGAGTGAAAACAATAGTGACTACGAATAAGTTTGTTTTAAAATTAATTTCAAATCATCAGTTTGCCCAGAAAAAAACAACCGCCTACCTGCTTGACATTGATCAGGTCCTGGACCCCAACAATAACGTTTGCCTTGAATAGCTGGACAAACTAGATGACATGGTAAATTTGGTGGTTCTGTTGGATAAATGATGGTAACTGTCTCATTCGGATTCCTTGTAGTATTAGCTTGAATACTTGAATTATCTGGCATAATGAGTTCATCCATCGTTGTTGTAGTTGTTTCTACTGTAGTTGTCATCGTTGTCGTTGAGGTTGTTGTACTGAAGGTGTCATTTTCATAACTGTATGGTTGACTTGTGGTAGTAGTCTGGTTTATAAGAGGTACTGTACTGTATTCAGTTGTCATATTTTCTACTTTTGTCGATGTTGTAGATGTCGCTTCATCAGAATATATGACTGTAGTATCTAATCAACGTCATGTAAAAAATAAAAAGTTTAAAACAGTAATATTACACATATATATACATAATTTGTATAATTACCTTTCCATGTATACACAACAGTATTAAATTTTGTATGACAGTGAAAGAACATATGATTATGGCTAGGTGGTTGGTGGTCATTGACAGGAATCTTTGACTGACCTAGAATTCATGTTTTTCGACACTTACCAGTGAGAAAGGCATATCTACCATCTTGAAGTAACCCATGTTCCTTCTGAAGTTCAAACCCATGTCACCCAATCCTGCGTTCACAGATGTTATCACTAAGCTGTTCGAGCTTGCGATTAAACACCTCCTGTAGAACTGTGATGGATACTTTGACTAGATTTATTATTATTATTGTTTTTTTAATTCCTAGAGGAACATACGGCTTTAGCCACACATCTGCATTGCGTTTGGTTCTCCGCCAACACTTTCACCTGGCTCCACGTCTGCTCACATGCTTTCATCTCCTCTTCACATGACGTCCTCCATGTCACCTTCGCACTGATGACCAACTAGCCGCTTCCCGTTTGGGTTCCACGAGAGAGCCTGTCGTATGATGTCAATTGATGGTTTGTTTTCTCAGAGTATGGCCAATTCACCTCCATTTCTTCCTGCATATTTGTAGCACAGTTGGTTCCTGCTGGGTTGGTTCGTTCATTGCCAGAAATGCTTGTTGCTGACCTTTTCTGGTTGGCCATCTGATATTGAGTAGTATTCAGCGAATACAGCTAGCTGTTGATGGTTTTCATTTTGTTCGAAGCGCCCCTCTGATCCATAAACTAGCACTTACTTCACATTGGAGTTGAAAACCCTGATCTTATTTTTCCTGCTGAGTGCTGTTGATCTCCATACAGAATTGAGAGACCGAAAGCTTGCCTTGCTTTTTCTATCCTCGTTTTGATATCCTCATCAGTTCCATCTGCCTGTGGTTGAAACGATACTTCTCAGGTTGGTAGGTAAAGGAGGTTGCATTTTCAGATTTCTACCATTTATGCTGATTGTTGTCTGTTGTTGTTATTGTTGCTGTGGCTGTTGTTGTTGCCCAAGAATCTGCATCCCCTCTGTCTTTTCTATGTTCACCTGAAGGAAGTCCTGTCTTTGATGCTTCTTCTATCGCCAACTTGTTGCTTTTTATCGCTTGCATATCTCCCACTTTGTGGGAAATCACACATGTACATCACACCGACAAAATACAGATCCTCTAAGTTTTTGTGAGAGTCTGTTTGATGCCTGTTTCCTAGTTGCCCTCTGCTGTCTGTCGCATTATCCAGTCTACCGTTCTTAATCAGGAAAATCATTGGAGACAGTAGGCAGCCAGCTTGTCTCACTCCCATTTTCACTCCAAAGGATTCCGTGAAATTCCCGTTGTGGATTTCTCGGCATGCAGCATTCTCATACAACTGTTAGATGCAATGCATAATTGTTAGCGGCACCCCATAGAAGCGTAGTAGTTTCAAAATCATCTCTCGATCATTGCTGTCAAAGGCCTTCTCCAAGTCAATGAAGTTGAGATAGAGAGCTGACTGCTATTCCAAGCTCTGTTTAATGATGAAACATAGTGTTGCGATTTCATTGATGCATGAATTGTTTCTCCTTTGACTGCATACTAAGTAGTAATTGATATGATACATCCAGTACTTGGTATTGGTGGAGACTGAATTCTATTAATCAGGTTTTCAATGTGGCCACTATGCTAGCTGGTTCTTCATCACAGTATCCATTACAATTTTAAAGAAACTCAATTGCTAGGCCGAAAAGCTCATTGGTAATGTCTCTAACTCCAGCATTAGGTGAGGAGGAACATGAGTCTCTTTGAGATACGCAGATACGTAGATACGAAGTACAGGTACTAATCTTCGTGCCAATCGCCTTCAACTATCTTACATCAGTTTACAGTGCACCTTGAAGACTAGCCACCTAGAGTGGTGGCCACACTGCACACTAGATAGATAGAATTCAGTCTGAGCCAAAATCAAGGACTAGACGCATAATATTGATCACTGCCTTTTTTCCAATGACAGACTATACCATATCACATAGGACGGTGTATGTTGTGAGTAGGATTATTGATGAACCTGTAACGCAACTAATTAACACTCTGGTTGACAGATATTTAAACTCACAACAAACAGTTAGGAACAGTCATCTTGTCGGATTATGATTACCACTTTCCTTCACACCTCTTTAGGAAAATCCTAGAAATATTTTGGTTGACAGTGATGTAATCCAGGATGCACATTTCATCCTACTCTAGACCCATCATCTGGATGTACCTGATTCCTTCACGGGTGACATTGTTCCCAGTGAGACACGAACCGTAAGCCCATCTTTTTAAGCACCATAGAATTGTCCAATAGGCCCATTAGAGCCACTCCTTTTGCATCTGGTATTGTAACAACAGAAGACAAGGGCCAGGCAACAGATCGTTTATTACGAAAAATCAACACGTATTTATAGATTTTGATGTACATTATTGTAGGTTAATGTTAGCAGAAAATACAGTCTGTTGATTGGTTGTTTCTCACAGAAAGTTAGCCTTGCATCTCTTTGTGGCTGTGTCAGTTCATCTATATGTTAACTGTATCCGCCTGTCCATCTTGACCTTGACCTCAATTACTGTCAACCAATTTGGCCAGTAGACAGCTCTCACCACAGTATCAGTTATTGTTTGTTTTTTAAGTTGATTTACATTTTCAAGTATTGGTTTTTTAGGGATTTTTGTTTGACTGATTACAGGATTTCATCATGAGCTGACAGCAGTTAGAGAAACATTGGAAATGCGGCTAGAAGTACTGCATAGCTGTTCCGTCAGCCCATTTTAGGACTCTTCATCTGCACGCACCCTCACTCTGGGGCTCGAACCCAGGCAAAACTTTCTGGTTATAAAGCAAGCCAGCTCGTAGACCATTAAGCCACTCGCTGGAACCCAATTTAATGTCTAGTCCACGAATTCAAACTTCTGCCAATTCATGACATAGCGCGACCACTTCGATGAGTTGCCGCCTCACCTTCACTCTGCTGTACCCTACTGGTCACGTCTTGCCACTAGAACCCCAGGCAACTGTCTTAATTGGGCGAGTCGCTGGTGAGCATCAGAGTATCTGTCCTCAAACCCAACCTGCTGTACCTCACTGGTAACGGCCAATCAAATCCCTGCAAACCAACACCTGAATATCAACGAGATGCTCACTAGCGACTGGTCCTATTCAGGTAGGCAGTTATCTGAGTTCTTGTGGAAAGTGGTGACCAATAGGGTACAACAGGCTGGGTGTGAGGACAAATATTCGGCAAAGACATTGGCTGGCAGTTGCATTATGTCGTGAATTGCCAGAAGTTGGAATTCATGGGCTGGCCATTGGATTGGGTCCCAGTGGCTGAATGGTCATCGAGGTAGCTCGCCAGCCTTGTAACCAGAAGGTCCTGGGTGAGCACTGTTGAGGTGGAGTCCCAAACTAGTCTGATGAAACAGCTTTCCAGTACTCCCAGGTGTCTTACAATGGTTCGCTAACTAATGTCAGACCATGATGAAATCCTGTAACCAATCAAACAAGAATCCCTACTAACCAATGCTTGAAAATCAAATTATTTATTTACTGGCCTAACTTTCCGAGAATTTACAGTGTATACATACAGTATGTATACGTCAAACGAAGTGAATATTTTCCCGACTAGGGTCAGACTGTCTTCTGCTTTATTTTATTAAGCTATGGGGGGGGGGTTGAAGTAACTGATTCTTATAATTTGTTATTCAATCTTCTATCCAGTTGTTTATTTGCAATTCAGCATCGACTTCCTCATTACTGTAAAATCAGTTTGGAAATCCTCTTCTCTAAACATAAACAAAAAATTAAGATTTTCAAAACTGATAGCAAATTAGTTCTCCCATATGGTTCAAAGACTTGAATCTTCACCAAAAATCAGTTTCCAGCAGGCTTCAGAATTTCATCAAGAGCCGTCTTCACTGCATACTGAACGTCAGATGGCAAGAGAGGGTAAGCAACAAGGAAGTCTGACCAAGAAGCTACTGCCCAAAATATATATGCCGGAGGAAGTCGAGATGGCTGGAACATAAACTGAACAGACAGTTGAATGACATTACATGCTAGGCCTGAGAGTGGAAGCCGAATAGGAAATGACTAGTTAGGCACGGGTCCATAAGTGCTATTGTAGGAGATCGTATCAACAGGAAATGAGAGATCATGGGCGATCCTGGAGCCAGATAAAGACAGCTGAAGAAAACAGAATGAAATGGAGATGTGTGATTGAAGCCTGATGTCCCATTAGAAACTCAAGGCATTAGTAACAATAATAATAGTCGAACCCACACAGCGGTCTTGATTAATTAGCATTAATTAACTTACCACTGCTTGTGGAAAGAACACTTTCATATGATGACGTCTCCATGACAGTTTCTGTTGTTTCATCATGAATTTCTTCAGAGGTGAGGTCATTGTTATCCCTGTATAAGTCATCAAGTTTAGCACCGATTTTTGTCATTAACATGTCACTTTCAAGAAAATTTCTGGATTGTGGTATTTCAGCATCATTTGTTGCAATACCCACCGATGAATAGACAGTATTACTTTCTTCTAATTGATTCAGAGTTGACTGTTCCATCTTTGGATATTCAGAGGGATTTTCTGTTGTCGTTTCAGTTGGTGAATGTGTAGTTTGTATTTCCGTTTGGGTATTGGTTGAATTTTGTTCGTTCATTTGAGTTGTATTTATATTATCTACAAAAATAAATATGACAGGAATGTAAAACTCTTCTCGGACGCTTAATCATCGTAAAATTGCATACAGCTGTAGGCTGCAAAGTGATAAAATAAGAAGCACAGAAGTATAATCCTTTTCGACTAGTTCCGCATCAACCCATAGACTTTTATCTCTCTACCTTACACAATCTTTCTCATGTCATACTCGAAGTGACGTCCACCTTTTTGATTCCTATTCGTGTTCCAGTTCAAGGTGTAAAGCA